CAGAAATGTGCAGGTGTTGTCAGTGTTGCTCCTGTAGCTACAGTCTCTCCCAAGCTGTTTGATACATCAGTCAGAAACTGTCACAGTTTGTGATCGGATTGCAATCGGATTGCTCTTGACCACATAAAAGTACAGGTGTAAATACACTCGAAACACATTGAGGACGGATTGTTATCCGATCTGCCAAACCACTTCTGAAGGTGGTCAGGGACGCATTGTGACCACATCGAACACAAGTGTAAATGCAAATGCGTCTCCAATCCACATGCAACAACTCCGTGGGCGAAAATATGTAAGCGAGGTGCGCCAGCTGGACACAGGAACAAGGAAGAAGACAACAACAACAACCCTCTCCGGGTAGAGACTGCCAAGAAAAAGAAAACACAGATGATAGCCAAGGATGGAGTCACGGTGAGACAAAGTGTCTGCTCTCCATTTGGTTCGACAAAAGTGTCCATACAATAACATGACTTCATGGGCGGCTAACATCTTGTTGTTATTGCAGCGCATAGTATATGACATTGTAGTCTGCTGCTGGAAATGTTTGCAGAAGAAGAAGAGGAGGATGTGACTTCAGCAGAATGGAGTGTGATCGGACAGCAAACAGATCTGGATGTGGACACCAGAGATGCATATTAATACCAGCTATAAATGTATGTGGTCAAGCGCTATCCGATTGCAGTCCGATCGCAAAAAACACGTTGATTTCAGGTGTAAAGGGGGCCAGTGTTGTCATAGAAACAAAACCCACGCACCACGGAACGTCAGTAAAAGCGCTGGGAGTGCTTTTTTTGTGTAGTGCTGGGATAAGTCACTCCCCAGTGCCCTGCCACTGCTTTTCTGCCAAAGAAAAATGTTATGTGGACACACGCCCTGAGGAATTACTACATTAAAAAGAACTGAAGTTGAGCATAGGCATTCATTAGAACCTTTATTTTGAAGCAGAAGTAAAAAAACAACAACCTCCGTTTAAGGAAAAAAAAAAAAAAAAAATCTAATTGACCTTAAAACTGTAGGCTTAACTAATAGTCCTCTTCCTTTCTCTTCTTTTGTCTGCTTGGTTCACCACTCTCCTGGTACTCCTGGATGGCGACTCTTGGGTCAAACTAAACCCTGACTGATGAACTTTGACACTCCATTTCTGGAAACACTGTATTCGTGTCTGATGCCAAAACACGCTTCCGTGCCTGTCATACAATTGTTATTTTGATTTCCCACCATTCCTGTCTGTTTTGAAATGCTGACTCCAAGATACCACAGAGAAATGATAGATACCCACAGGGTGGATCAATGGGGGGGCGACCTGAAGTTGAGTCCCCAAAGCAGCAGCAGCAACAGCAGCAGCAGCAGCAGCAACAGCAGCAGCAGCCATTGGGCCCTCAAGCTGGACCAGCTCCAGGATTTGGTAGGGGGAGTCCAGTAGGGGGAGTTTTTGATGGGCCAAATAACAAGCGCCGCAGGTACTAACTTCTCTCTGATCATGGAGAAACAGTTCTCATGGATTCTTACGCCCCGGCCTGATCATCTCTTTTTCTGTTTGACATCGACCCACTTCCCTCCCTGTGGCAAATGTTTGCTGAAAATTCTTTTTTTTCCTGTTGGGCAAGTTGTCACTGAGGGGCATCTATTTTGTGATTGATGAAACGACCGATGCTTCTTATCTTGGTGCTTATTTGCAATCTTTATACGCAATATTTTTTACAGCATATATTTCTCCTGTGTTTTCTGAATTAAATGGTTTGTGCTTCTCTGTCTGCTGATTATTCACTGTGCAAACATGATTCAAAGCATGCCAAGGAAGGCCTTTGGGGATAGACATCTTTGCAGTTGCTATGGCTGCAGTTGTCTTATACACTTTATTAAGCTGCTGTATGGGAGTGTTAAATAACGATTAATTAGATTGGACATTAAAGTCAGAACAAGATTGCTGACTCTTGACACTGAAAAGTAGTGACACCCAAAAATGTTTCTGGGAGAATGGAGGGTTTTTTTACTTGTTGCATTTGTTTGTGACCCTCCCTTAAAACATACTTTTACTTTTAGGTAACTTGATGTTCAATCATAGACTGAGTAAATGTTCTGTAGCTTCAGTGAACCCTGTATTTGATGGTTAAGAGAAATAAAACATTTGCAAGAAGTTCTGTCTTTGTGTGATTTGAAAGAATTATCATTTTCTCCATAAACTTGACAGTTAATTAACCAAATACTGCCAAATATCATGAAACACCCAACACCTGACTCCCTTATACTTAAAGGAGCTCTATACAACATTCAGAGTATCTATGATTCAGAGTGTCGGCCCAGATTGCCTGCACACGATTCTGAATATGGAGTTTGCTGAGCTAGCAGCTAACAGTGCCAACAGTGCGAACAGTGCTAACAACAGCAACCCCACTGACAGAGCTACTGTGAGCTTTCGCAACGATGCTGTTCCACCACCGTAGGTCGGGAAGGTGTCACCAGTCTCAGTTGCGGTATGAGCGCAGTCCTGCATAGCAGCGACGATTAGCTTGCCAGTAGGATACACACACACAGAAACTCGCAAGCATTTTCGTGAGCACATCTAGACCCAAACAATGAAAAAAGAAGATTATATTCCAACACAGAAAAGTAGCGTGACTTCATTCTCTGCTCAGGACACATCACTCCACTATATCGTGACATAGCAAATGGTGGTTAGCTGCTATATTAATGCTCTGAATGTCATATAGAGCTCCTTTAACCTCCTCTTTATGTTTACAAGTTGGATACATTTTTTTATGCTTGCAGGTCAGTTCTGATCCAGAATGGCTAAATATCTTGTGTTTACAATAAATTGTGTATTCTCATTTGTCATTCACCTTATATAGCATACCGTAGAAACCCATTACTCCACTCAAGTCTGAAATGCCTTCATAAAATGCCTCACTTACCCTCTGCCTGGCTGTTTAAAGGGCACACCACTTCCTGCATTACCTCTGAGTTGTAATATTACACTGCGAAATCATCCAAGATGGCTTTAAGCCATTTAAGCTAAGTGTATAACAAGTCTAACAGTCTTCGAGACAGAAACTAGGGTTAGACAAAAAGCATGTTAAACCACATCTACTGAAGGATGCATGAGGTGTGGCTGAGTTTTGAAGATGGGATGGCAGAGTATCAGCTTAATGAGGTGTATTTGTGTGTGTGTGTGTGTGTGTGTGTGTGTGTGTGTGTGTGTGTGTGTGTGTGTGTGTTTGATCTATTTGGACAATAATACATTCTGAAAACATTGTAAATGCCAATTTTATGACCGACAGACAAATGGTACATTGTGCCCACATGGTGTGGTCAACTTATTAAATTGAAAATGTATAACTTTTTCTAAATGGCAAAAAATAGGTAAAAAAAAAAAAAAGACCATACAGTATCTCCATAATGTGTGTGTGAGTGTCTGGGAGCCTCATTTATAAAACATACAGACCATCCCTCTCCTCTGTGCTCAGGGGATGGGGAATGTGATAGTGAGACAGTGCTGATCAAATATTAAGCGGAATTTGATTTGACATTTGAGTTGACTTATTTCTTTTACAATTGAATGGTGCTTATGGAGTAGTTATGTCTCACTAGCACAAGCAGTAAAAACACTGCTGATTAAATGCTTATAAAGTGGATCTATAATTAATGTGTGACATGAAGTGAATTAAAATGTGTGAGAGGCATCCTTATGTGTATAGTTAATGATATAATTCACCACCTCACCATGTGCGTCTGTAAAATGTTTGTACTCATGGGAACTTTTGCGTGGGAAATGGCGTATGCCTCTTTTGGGCAAACGCTGCAGCTATAAATGAGGCCCCGGATATCTTTGTGAGATGTGTGTCTCTGTGTGTGAGTACTGTAACTGTGCATGTTGCATCAATTAAAAAAAAACAAACAGTGGTCCTGGCTGACTATGTGCTTGACACTAAGGTCTTCATTTCACTGGCTCAGGTGTCATGGAATCTAAAGAATAGTTTTATAACAGGTAAATACATTTCATTCTTCCTCTCTTGTGTCCATCCACAAATTATTTCTGCATATTTCACTTGTTTTATATTTCTGTATAGTCTGCAGTTCTTTATCAATTATGTACCAAGTGTATTTAACAAGTACTGTATCAGTGTCACTGCTAATGCATCAACATAACATCACCAGTTTTACCACAGTTAGAGTGAAGCTGACTTTGTTGAGAAGTTCGACAGGGCTGACTTTATTTTGAAGTCAAACCTAATGATGTGCAAACAGCAAAAGCTGAATGATAAAAGGAGAGAAAATAGCTGCGTGATGTTCATAAGTGTGTGTATGTGACATGCATATATGTGTTATGTTTATAATACATTTCTGTACAGCAAATAATGTGTCAATTTGTGACTCAGGACTCAGCATTATGATAAGTAAAAGGTTCTCAGGTTATTTGGACTGTAAAGACAGTTTATCGATTTCTTGTGTACCTTTATTTGATAGATCATAAAGTCAAAAGAATTAGCTATAAAAAAGATTTTGAATTTAGTGTTTTTTATCGCTGACAGAAGTAGGTGCCAACTTTATAAAATAAAACATTTTCAGCTTGCAAATTTTAATCCCAGACATCACAACTAGCTCTTGTATGTCTAAAAAAACAGGCTTTGTGACAAAATAAAATCTGGTCTTTCATCAGTAACAGATACCCATGCAAAGATTTTGCTGTAGCACAGTGTTAACATTTGATCGTTGTCATAAATTTGTTATTGTCAAAATGTGAGGTGAAAAGAGTCGATTGTTCAGAGGTTTTACACTGCAACACGAGTGGTTTGTCATTTGTATAAAAGAGAGAGTGGCTAAAAGAAGAATCATCTGATGATCTGCTTGTTAACACTGTCCACTGTCATCAAGTTCATCTATATTTTGCACATATTCCAGAGGCTACATAAATTAACACAGTTGGTGATATGTCAATTTTACCTGTATGCTCAGTGTTGCAGAATATTTGTTTTAAGTGTCTTCTTTCTAATCTTCTATAGGTCCTGTTGGTGTCCTGCCTCCAGTGAAGGAATAGGTAAATCCCAACACACACACACACACACACACACACACACATAAACACAGTCTGTACACAGGACCATTGTGTTATATTTATTGTACTTTAAATAATGTAGACATACACTTTTGAATAATAATGGATATATTTTCTCACTGGCATCAGATCCCATTAATGAATACCTAGAGTCAAGGAGAAATGGAACATACTCAAGGGGCAGTTTGCCCAACAGACAGCAGGAAATGAATACAATTTAAAAAACTAAAGTGTTTATATGTCTTTTTACCTGTAATTTTGAAGTTGGCAGTGAGATGGTGAGGAAAAACAAGAGGACAGGGTTGAGGTCATCAATAAAAACACAGACAAATACAAAGGTAAAGTTAATTGCATGGAGATTCAAGCACCGTCACTCCTTCGTATTGACAACAAAAAGAGGAAACAAAGGAAAATGGTAGAAGAAACATTAATCAGTGTCTGTTTCCCTAGAGTAAGTTTTATCTAGTGTTTTCTATTTCTTGTCTATGTTTTTCTATAGTCAAAGACTATTGGTCATCTTTTCCATGAAGTGTAGTTAACAGTAGGAGGGGACAGTGATACTTTATCTTAGTTAGTTTTTCTCCAAAATATATAGAGAGAAACAAAGGCAGGTATATTTTTGAGTGCACAAGATAAAAAGAGCTTGACTTTGTTTGATTGTAATGTCTATGGAGAATAGAGACAGAGTTAGTGAGTCAGCATCAGTGTGCTGTTTTGGAAAAGTCAAGGACAATTCTCAGTCCTCTGTACTGTCACGGTACATTTTTGTTACAAGAAAAAAAAAATGCTGATTTTATTGTCATTGTGACACCTCGCTGCTTATAAATAGCAGTTGGTTTAGATTTAACAGACAGTCATTTTTCAACTGCTGTTAATCTCTGTTGTTTAAAACTACACATCACTACTACCAAAGAGGGATCCATGGTTAAAGCTGCAGCTGGTAACATTCATGGAGATAATTTTTGTCATATTTGATGAAACTGTCAAAATATTCTGAAAGAAGTACATGAGAGAGACAGTCTGGAAAAAAAAAATCATGTCCCTACTCCCACTGCCTCTAATAGCATTTACGGCAGCACAGCAAAAACAACCAATCAGAGCCGAGTAGTACTTGTGAACTGCTGTCAGCCTGTCAAACAAGGCAGCACTAATCAAATATGAATCAAGATTCTGTAACTGCATTGTCCATTTATCTTCGCAATTGTTCTCAGAAACATGTTTTAGTGTACTGTTAAGATGAATTCTGCCTCGATTTCTCTGTCTCTTATTATGTCTCATTTTGTCATATGGATAACTGCAAATTTATAATGTTGATCTGTTCTGTACGTCATCTATTGCCTGTCTGTCCTGGAAGAGGGATCCCTCCTCAGTTGCTCTTCCTGAGGTTTCTGCCATTTTTTTCCCTGTTAAAGTTTTTCCTTATCTGCTGTGAGGGTCCGAGGACGTATGCTGTAAAGCCCTCTGAGGCAAACTGTGATTTGTGATATTGGGCTTTATAAATAAAATTTCACTGAATTGAATTAATGAAATTAGATTTCTGTGACTCAGCCCTAGTTGAACCAAAACGAAGCACTACCCCTCGGCTGGAGCAAACTTTCTCACTTTACAGCTAAACAGTACACTAAAATATGTTTCTAAAAACATCTAAGGAGAGAAGTAGGCAATGCAGTAATAGAATCTCGATTCATATTTAATCAGCGCTGCCTAGTTTGAAAGTTTACGAGCAGTGATCGAAATGATTGACAGCTGTGTTTAGGAGTCCTTTTCTCTGATTATATAGTGACAGTTTTAGTGAATATAAAAAGTTATTTAATAAAAGAGTTACCAACTTCAGCACATTTTCTTCCTTTAGTGTGTGACCAGTGTGTGATTCAGGTAAGTTTACAAACCTTGTGTTGTATGTACTTTGAATAAAGCTGATTTATAAAACCACAGTGCTGTTGATGCTTCTTATTCTTATACCTGCTGTTATTGATAAATGATGTGAATGGATTACTGTTGATTTTCATGAGATTTTTGATTTGATTAAGAAAATATTTATACTCAAACATAAATGACCCTAGAGTGATGATAATTCCCTGAATTTGAGTTGAGATAGTTAAATGTGTCATGCTTTAGAGGAGTTTTTCCTGTCCTATTAAACCCGAAACAATAAATGACAATCAACTAAATGAAAACCTTAAACATCTGATTTGTTAAGTGGGTCAGTGCTTTAATTGATGTACAAAGATAATTGTTTTATTATGGCTGGATCGCTTTTTCCCCCCAGACTTTGTGGTCCATATGTAGTGAAACAGAACAAGAAGGAACAGTGTGTATTGTGTTATATTTGTTAACACAAAGTATAAACTACAAAGAATTAGGGGCAACAGCAGATGTTGGTGAAGGTTATGTTTGTTTCTTTAATCAATAGGCATTTTATCTGTGGAAAGCACTGGGCTTTTGGCGTGACAGTTGTATATAAGTTGCAGTTGATGACTGTTGCTGCCAACATGTGGACTACCTGTTTGATACAGTCACAGCAAACTGATTGATGCTTTAAGTGTGGAAAAAAGTGTGTTTGTAGCAGGAGGGTTGGGAGCTCGTGAGGGGGGGTGCAGTGCTTTTCTTTGCCATGCCCAAGGCTGTTCATTATCAACATGAAGAAGGTAATCATTGAAGTGATCCAGTTTTTTTAACGGGGCTGATTGTGGCCAATTTGGGGAATGAATACTCTGTGTCTCTATTCTTCACTTTCTGGCCTTGTTCTGCTTTAGCCCAGTTTGTGGCCCAATTCTGTTTCTGGAAGGACAATCGATTTCGGGGCATTTGTGTTTTTGAAAGTGTCCTTTTAACAACTCTTTGTCTAGATTCCGTCCCTCCACATGGTCAGGTGTTACCTCCATCCAGTTTATATACAGACCTAAATGAATCTCATTAGTCACTATAAGAGTTTCATTACAGCTGTGGAACATTAATATCTGCTTCACAGGTCAAAGGTGATGTCTCCTTGTAGAGTTAATTGAAGGAGAATCATTTCATTTAAGGTTTGAATGTGTCTTGTGTGTATTACAACCTTTTGGCCTAGATATCAGTTAGTACTATTCATGACAGTTTCCCTGAGACCCTTAAAGCTAATAATGTGAATTCAGACTGATGGGGAGCCTGGAGCTGCTGTACTGACTGAGACCCTTAGTTTTATGACAGAACCAAATACCTTCTTTTAGTTCGGAAAATGTTTCCAGGATTCCTTTGAGTTTGTTCCTCTGCTCTGATTTTCATCTTTGGCATTTCTAACTTTGTGTTTTCTCGCTGTCTGGGCTCCCATAGAATCCAATAATAATTGCAAACAGAACCATTTGTATGCCTCCATGCTGGCGATAGCAGTGGCCGGACACATTATGTTTTATAGGTTTTTTAAATGTGTTTTCATGTTTTCAGTCCGTCCCATTCTTGTGAACAAGATATCCCAAGAACGCTTGAATGAATTTCTTCAAATTTGGCACAAATGTCTGCTTGGACTTAAAGATGAATTGATTCGTTTTTGGTTGTCAAAGGTAAAGGCCACTGTGACCTCATCTGTCTTATTGTCATGAACATGTGACCATGAACATATCTCAAGAGAGCCTTGAGGGATTTTTTTTTTTTTTTTTTTTTTTTTTTTTTCAAATTTGGCACAAGCATCCACTTGGACTCAACAAAGAATTCTTTAGATTTTGGTGGTCAAAGGTCAAGGTCACCATGACCTTGCATCTGTGTCATTCTCGTGAGTGCGATACCTCAAAAACATCTCAAATAAACTTTTTAAAATTGGTAGTCAAAGGTGAATGTCACTGCAACCTTGTCCATTGCAGTATCTGAGGGACAACTTGAAGGATTTTTTTTTTCCAAATTTGGCACAAACATCTACTTGGACTCAGTAATGAACTGATTAAAAATTGGTGGTAATAGGTCAAGGTCTCTGTGATGTTGCATCCATTTCATTCCATATAGACAATATCTCAAGAACACTTTGAGGGAGTTTCCTTAAATTTGGCACAAACTTTCTCTTGGATTCAAGAATGAACTGATTAGAGTTTTATAGTTCAAAGTCGAAGGTCAGTGTGACCTCACAAACCATTTTTTGACCAACATGATAACATTAAGACATGCTGACATTTTATATCCAAAAAATCAAAGATCAACTTCACTGTGACATCATAATGTTCTGGAAAAACACTTCTGGCCATTATTCAACGTCATAACGTCACCATAAGGAACAGAAGAGAGGCATTTGATCAGATACTGAATTGGTGACACTTAGCTTGAGTGCCTATCTTGAAACTGTGCTGATTGTATAGACCTTCGGTGCTGCTGGAGAAAGATGTGTGTGAAGAATTCATGTTTTTACTGACATGGATGTAAACTGTCATTGCAACTTGACGGGTTGGTGGAGGAATAAAACTGCAAGGTCGTAATTCTTGTTTTTTTTTTTTTTAATCTTATTACCAAATGTAAAAAGTACTGTCCTGGTAATCCTCGATCATTGCCACAAGCTGGACTTGCATTTTTAATGATAGTGACATAATAATGAAAAGATCATAAAGCAGTGGATCCCAGCCTGCAGGTCAGGATCCCCAAAGGGTCCCAAGAAGAACCTGAGGGGTCACCAGAGGATTGAAGGGACAAGAGAGAGAGCAGCTGTCAATCACGTCTATCACTGCTTGTGAACTGCAGTCAAACTAGGCAGCACTGATCAAGTTTGAATCAAGATTCTGTTCCTGCATTGCTTATTTCTTGTTCCAGATGTTTTCAGAAACATATTTTAGTGTACTGTGTGGCTGTAAAATGAGAACATTTGTGACCTGGCTGCCATGTTGAAAACAGTCGAGCGGTGATTGGTTGTTTTCATGATTCTTGCAAATGCCATTAGGAGCACTACGAGGAGCATGATTTTTTTAGTCACCTACTGTAGCTTTAACTAATATATTTTTCCAATAAATCATATATGGTATGTAACATTATCATGTCATTTTAGAGGAGAGGGAAATATTAGTATAAATACTCAATAGTTGAAGACAATCTTTTACACTACTTTTTAACTTTACATTGTATGATGTGAGAATTATCATTTGGTTTAATGGACTGTAGCTAAATGTCTGATTTTTTAACAAACTGATATTTTTTTCTGCTGACAACAGTGATTTGCAGACAGATGTTGATTGGCAGCAAGGTGAAATAATTATATATTTTTTGTAATCTAGTTTGGTGGCAATATTGAAACTAGAATCTCCCGCAGATTTCTTGGAGCAGGCTGATCCCCAAAGCAAACACTGGGTATCAGGTTATTTACCCAGTAATCTGACCTTTTTCATTGTTTGTTTTAGTCTAAATCTGATTGTCAGCTGAATGAATGGACCAATTTGGCTAAAAATAGTTAGACCTATTTTTTTGCAGCGTGTTGGCGCCGCCTCTTCTCTGTGCGTAAAGACGCATTAAGAAGTGGCACAGCAGCTGATAATCCAGACAGGAGGTGCTTTTGGTTACAGCACAGCCTCTCACTGATGGTGAGGAGACACACAGAGACTAAACTTCTGTTTTTTAAAGTCATCTAATTTTTCCTCCCCGCAGATCACGCTCTCCATTTACGCGCCCTGCTCGCAGACTGAAACTTTTCAGTGACTTCATCTGACAAGCTTGTGTTGGGATGGTTGCTTTCTCCTGGAGACGGAGCTTATTAATGGGATTTCTCTCTCCCCTGCATCACCTGAGGGCAGTTGGACAGTGAGCCGCGGGGTGTCTGGAGGCTGGATGGACAACATGTCTCCACAGCAGCAACAGGACAGCCTCAGCCGAGGCGGTGGACAGCAAGAAAACAAACGGGTATGTGTTTTTGACGTTTCTATCAATCTTCCCTGGCTTTATTATTGGTAATAAACCGTTTATAATTGTAATGGAGAAGAGGTGGACGTGCAGATGTCGTGATTTTAAGGCTTTACTTAACTTGAACGTGAGTGCGGAAAGGAAGTAGGCTACAGTTGGTTAAATTTACCGGATCTATTGAGAATAACGATCATGTTTTCCTCGGAGCTAACGGACATATGAATGAATGAGTGTATTGTAAACGCGGTCCAGTCGGGTGAGAGGTGAGTTCAGAGTTCAAGGCTTTTACCCAAGTGACACCGCGCCTCCGTAAAGTCGGTCAAACAATGTAAACAGAGTTAGGAGGATTTCAGGATGATGGTGTACAAAATATTACAGACAAGAAAATATATATCTATAAATGTATATCAGTGATTATATACTCCATCAATTCAGCTGACAGTTCATTATGTGAACTTATTCTGTTTTATTTCCCAGTGTGGTAACATTTTAGTAGCAGTAGCATAAAATAAGCAGTATAATCAGTGTATGAATTTTTAAAAATACACTGTTAGTTGTGAAAAGATGTAGGCTATGCAGATTTGAAGTGTTTAGAAATGTAATTGTGAACAGATAACAGTACAGTTATCACTGGATGCCTCACAGAGGCAGCCATAGATGATGAAATAATAAATGTCTTATAATGCCTATAAATGCTTAAATAAACGCACAAAAAGGTGTGGTTTAAATAAAGTTTTATGAACTAGATTATTAATTTAATCATTAAATTTGATATCAGTTGTTGGCAAATTTTACAATACATCAATAAGCCCAGTTTCTGCTGGGACTCATGTTTCTGTAGCTCCAGTAACAGCTAAATAGTGAAAACTAAATCTATGTAGTGTATGTTGCTATTTGATTGTCGTATTTGTAAATGAATAATTCATATAGAAAATCATGACCGTAGTCTTGATATCGGATCCACTGGACAGCAGTTGGGTTGTTGATTATGTCAGTTTTTGCTCTGTGAAGGAGCTGACAGTATTCAGAAAATTAATCAACTGTTTTGATCATCGTGAAAGTTAATATCTGCTCTTTCCAGCTTCTCAAATGTGAAGATTTGCTGCTTCTCTCTGTTTTCTATCACTGTAAATTGGTTGCATTGGTTCTTAGATTACTTGTCAGACTCTGAAAAATAGTGATGAATTTTTGTTCACTGTTTTCTGACATATAGTGACAAAATAAGTAATCAGTCATTCAAGAAAATTGTTTGCAGATTAATTGAAAGGAAAATAATGGTTCGTTGCGGTGCTACTATACTGTGCTACTGGTGTGGTTTCGTATACATCTGTTGTTAACATCACTGACAGAAAGTATGATACAATCCCATGGAAGACACTTGGCCGAAACTTTAAACATGTTTTTCTCCCACAGTCGTTTATAAATTACCATATACCCTTCTGTTTCAGTGCAGTTCTCCTGCTTGATAATTTCACTAGTTTTTTGATCGATTGATCGATTTATTCATTCACTTATTCAGAGTCAGTGACAGTGTTCAGTAGTGACTGCAAGAAGTCCTGGTGACGCACAGATAACTTTCCTGCTGCACCGTGCTGCGTCCTTGTTTTCATTAATGATTCATTCCACATTGGCTCCGACTTCTCACCTGTATGTTCTGACTGAAACAGCCGTGGAAAAACAGTATATCCATCATGCCATTGATCCCTCCCTGCTGGGACTATGACAACCTCTTGTGAGTAAATGCAGTGAACGCAGAGACGTGCAGTTCACCTGTAATGAACCCAAATCCTTTAACAGTTACTGAAACAGCTCATAAAGCTCAGGGGAAGAGCGCTTATGATACATTATGTTCATTTGAACGGGGTCTGTGAATATGGACTTAAAATCATAGTTAAAAGTTTAAAGCTGGTAGCTGCAGTATCAGCCTTCATCTGTTAAGTTCCAGTATGTTCAGTTCTCTGGCACCTGTCTGGAAACAGTCTCTGAATGAACTTCATCTCAAACTGCTCTGTGTTGTAATATAGTCAGTAGTATAAAGCTGGGCTGACATTGGTCACTAGATTTGTTTCCCAACACAGAACCCATAGCTCCGTGCAAGCTTATGTTTATTTTTAGGAGTGAACGGTAACATGTTAGGGTCATGTTGTGGCTGGAGTGTGAGGAATGTTTCACCACTGTGTGACCCTGCTGAATCAATGGTATTACACTGTGAAATGTCAGAAATGCGTGAAGGTGGGATTGATCTTTTCTCACTGTGGAGCTTTTGATTTTGAAGGCCTACAGTGGTCCACCACTTCAGTCTAGACTCAAATATCTCAACAAGTATTAAATCAAGTATGAGATGGATAGCTATGAAGCTGTACTTTGCATTGGAGACTCTGAATGATTTATGTGACCAAGGTAGCTTAGCTAGCACCATCCAGGCCCCAAGAAAATGTGCCGGACTTTTAAGCCAATGGCCAAACTGTGTAGCTACAACTTTCAGGTCCATCAAAAGTCGAGAAGAGCTGCACAATGTAATGTAATGTAATGTAATGTAATGTCAAGTTAGCAGGGGGCTCAACTGGAAGGTAGCTGTTAGGCCAGCAAAGTCTGTAGTGCACTTGTTCCATGGGCCCCAATGATGCAGTATATTGAGGTCATTTTACACTTGGAAGTCGAACTTTTTGGGCTTCATGCACCACCGAGCAACTTTATTAGGATGAACAGGGCCCTGCCTCCAACACTATATCAAGTTCTCCTCATACATCCATGGCACTACTGCCTGAACTTTACTGACTGTTGAGCTGTTGCAATCACTTCGTTTACATGCACAAAATATTCTGATTTTTGCCCTCATTCCGAAAAAGACAACATTCCTACGAAGCCTATGGGTGGCGAACTTATTGGACCATATGAACACAGCCTCCCTCTCTCATTCCTGAAAAGGTTGGTGTTGCAAAAATGCTACATGCGTAATAAGACCTAACTCAGATGATCCAAATGGAACATGCTGTTTACACGACCCGCATCAAATTCTGATTTGGAATAATAGGGTAATATATGTGTGCATGTAAACATATCCAATGTTACAGAACACACTGGCTGTTGGTGTGACCATGTCCTTTTAGATATACACAAACTAGCAGGGCTAGCCTACTGGCGCCTTTGGTTGTCCGTGTTGGTCACTTTGCAAGTTGTAGTGGTCCATTGAGAGCCTCGCTTTTGGTGTTTCAAGCTAGTTAGCCAGCGTTAGCATGCTGAAATGCTCAACTCAGATGGTGAATATTGTAAAGATAATACCTGTTAAACATCAGCATGTTGGAGTTGTCATTGTGAGCATGTTAGCATTTAGCTCAAATAATATAATTATAATAATCTTTAACACTTTTCTTTAAAAAGTCACATAGTGCCTTTAATAACATTAAAAACAATCAGGGATAAATAAAATATAAAATATCCAGAGAATGAAAACTAATATTCGTATTTAAAAGTTCAATTATAAAACTTCCAAAACAACAAAAATAATAACAAAAAATAATAAAATAAATTGTGTCTGTGTCCGTCTGACCATAGTTAACAACCAGTATTGGCTGACCATGTCAGAGAGTGTGTAAACTGACATACAATGAAAGAACTGTGGTTATGTAATGGCTGTTTGTCACCTCGGTTCACACTCACAAATCCTTCTACAATTAGATTAAATGAAACTTTAATGACCCTCATGGGGAAACTGGGATAATAGGATCCAGCAAAGAGAAAATAGGATCTCAATATGGCTGCAAGCAGAAGCTGGTGGAGTGAAGTGAAGTGGAACAGCAGATTCATTCACCACTGAATCGACATATTTTAATCTATTTCATTTCAATTTAAAAGTCTGCTTAAGATTTTGGATAGAAAAAATGTAGTTATGAATATATGTTTACTGTGGAGCCACAAACATCGAAAATGACACATGACAGACACTTAAACATTTCCAGCTGGCTCGTAATGAGCAGCTGAAGTGAGAGAGAGGTCAGGAGGTTCATGAGACTGATGCTGCATACTGAAGGTGGTACAGACTGTGAAATGTTGTCACCTGGCTAACCTTCATGCTCTGACATTCCTCCATGTTTAAATTCTCCTGCTTCAGTCTGCTGTTCCCGTCCCTTTGGAGGCCACAGTCAGTCCTAATGATGTGATGGATGTGTTGAACATTAGGATGCTTATGTAATGAATGAGGGAAGTGTAAACATGACATCAGCATGGAGTAAACGCTGTACGCCTCTCTTTGTGGGCTTTGAGCCTTTTAGTTGTATTAGCAGATAAAAGTTAATGGTTTAATTGAGCTGTTTTTTGTGTTACTAAAGTTTTCAGTGGAGATGTATATGAGACTCATGAGGTTATAATGTACAGGTATGTTTTGGGAAAGTAACCTGGACTCACTAGAGATGTTGAAATGATGTAGACGATGATGTAGTGATGTAGGATCTTAATTAGCACCAGCTACCCACCAAACGAAGGTAAATATTTAGCAATGGCTTGTAAAGTCACCAGGCCATACACCACTGTGGCGTACAGAGAAAAGGCACAACAGAAAGACTTGATGGACTGTTATATAAAGGCAATGATATTGGCCCTAGAACTTTTGATTGACAGTCGAGGTTCACTTAAATCTAACCGACAGCCAACAATAAAAAGATGGTCACACACGTACGATACAGGCCCACTTGTTACTGCATCAACTTCAGTACCTCACATGTCAATTTTCATGTGAAGGAAGAGCTCAGGATGTAGCGAGTGTGCACCGGCCAAGAGAGAGTGATGTTGGATGTGCGTTGAGCAGGCAGGTGTTGGCGATTGGAAAAATTAAGCAGTAAAGTGGTGGTAAAGATGCAGTGTAGGTTTCAGTTTGCCCACGACTAAAGTCCTCAAGTCTTGGTTCCCAGCATAGGCCGGAATGTTCATGTATGCATGTGTACAATATCCTCCCACCCCTTAAAAGTAGGGCTGCCCTGAAAGCCATGGTGTGATTCAAACACTGGAATTTAACAGAGGTTGAAGAAGTACTCAAATCTTTTTCTCCAGTAAAAGTAGTAACACATCCTACTGCAGTGTAAAAATATAAAATTGTACTAGCATCAAAATATCCTTAACGCACCAAAAATAAAAGTACTCATTGCAGAATGGCTCATTTGAGAGTAATATACATTATGTTATTAGATTATGATTATTGATGCATTAACATGTTCATCACTTTAATATTGTTCATTGAGGACAAAGATTTCAAAGCTGGCAGATATGATTTCTGAGTGGCAGACAAAAAATGCTTGCCACAATGGCAAGTAGTCAAGGTGGGGGAAGAAATCAATACAGCATAGTAGCGAGATGTTTTTGTGTGGCAATACTGTATCGTCACACAGTGCCATGTATTGATTTTTTATTACATAAATTATTAATATTACAAATACAAATTAAACTTTAGGTAGCCTACTAGAATAATAAAATCAATAGCTTTTTCAGTCCACTAGATACATTTTTCTGCGTGAGATGAACAGACTGAAAACTTTATCTTGTTAGATCAAACAGATGTTCACAAGTTGACAAAAGGTACATATACATATTTAAAGTCACAATAATATTGTAATGTGACTCAAGTATCATGATAATATATCGTGGATCCTCTGGTGATTCCCACCCAGAGTAGGAAGTATAAACATTAACTTCAGACTCTGGACGTAGAGCTAAATACTACACAAAAGAAAATCATATTTTCAGAAAATGTTCCGTCGATGCATACTGTAGTATCAAAACTGGTTATAAAACAATCTAAACAAAGAAACTTAATTCTCTCCCACCGAAAAAGACATGAGTAAAGTGAGTTTAAGCATCGACTGTCTGTTCCACCCAAGATACATAAATATTAGTAATGCATCAGTCAGACAATATTTTGATTTGTGTATCTTTGTCTTTTATAGCGGATGAAGTCCCAGAGCTATCGGCGCCAGTCAGCCCCGTCTATGGTCATCAGCAAAGCTCTCACCAGGTCCAAGACTCTCTCCAGGTAAACTACAAGACAACAAGGCTTGAGGCTTGGCTGCACTGCCAGTGTATGTTGCGGTTTACAGTGAATTTGCAGCCACAATTCCAGCCCATACTTATATATACATGTGTATGCACTCACACAGCAGTTTAAGTCATCCCAGTTGTGTTCATGTTGTAAATCCTGCAGGTGTTAGTTGATATTCAGTGTCTTAACAGGTACCAGCTCATCAGGGTGAGCAGGTCAGTTACAACATCCTTAGAATCATCCAGTTCACTTACACAGAGGTCAGTGTGGTCAGGACGCTGAAACAAACCCTCAAGCCACACTCTCAAACACGTGTACACACACACACACACACACGCTTGCACGCCCCAGGCACAACCCCGAGTGAGGTGTTGAATCCACTTGGATAGATAATCCTCCTGTAACCAGACTTATCAGAGGATCAGGCATCTATTAATAGCTCTTTCTTTGAACACACTGACTGAGAAAGTGAAGAAGAAATAACCTTGTTAAAAAGCTCTTGCACAGGTGGAGCAGCTCACTGGACAACACCCACCAACCACACCCCTCAAAGACAGGGTGATGACAGTGTGTATGTCCCTGCACGAAACTCTCACTCTGACTGTCGACATGGTTAATAGGACATAACACTCACAGATGAAATCACACCATGTAATAATGTTTACAACTTTTTTTATTCTTTATCCAACGAGCACTTTTTCGGTATGACTTGAGATCTGACTTTCTGAAATCTGTAGATTCCCAGACTCATTAATGCACTCAGCTCTCAACCTAATCACCTATAGCTTGAAATGACATAACACGATTTATATAATGAAGTCCTTTGATCTCTTATTAATCTCTATTGAATCCCAAACACAAGTCAAAATGGGTCATGCAAAATCAGTGTACATATATACAGTATATATATCAGTATCTGTTGCAAGGCAGTGATTATAATTGATATTTAGAGAGAGTTTTTGATCAGCTGAATAATTAAAAAAGACCCAGAATATTTTAACATGTAAAATTCGTGTCACTGTTTTTGTGTTCCAGAGACAGCGTCCTGGTTTCTCTGTGCCCAGAGACGTGCTCACTGGTCCAGTCCTTCCTCACCGGCTCTGATAGGTCCTTTCTTCTTCACGGACATGCTCAGCTGAAGACTGGGATGCAGACTCAGGACAGACACCTGTTCCTGTTCAATGACACACTGGTGATCGCCAAAGCCAAGTAAGCACAAGTGTGTTTTGTTGTAATTTTATCCTTGTGCGGAGCCGTTTGGGAACGTTTTGGCTGCTCCACACCTTGGTCTAAGTGTTTTGTCACTCTGGTGCTCACGCCTCTCTCTGCTGCTCCCAGGTCAGCCAACCACTTCAAGCAGAAGGCTCAGGTGTGTGTGTGTGAAATGTGGACGGCAAGCTGCATGGACGAGGTGTGTGAGGGAAGCACGAACCCAGAAAGGAGCTTCGTTATGGGCTGGCCCACCTGTAACTGTGTGGCTACATTTAGGTGACACATATACACTTATATACACCTTTCGCTAATACAGATGCTGTATGTCCCTGATGGATTGTAGCTACACTGGTCCAATGAGATAATGGCCACACTTTGTGCTGATGTCTCCTGAAGATTTACATACATCTTCCACTCACTCTCAAAGTCTCTCACACTAATGTCCATTGATAGCAGTCCAAAACACATTAGCGCAACAGAAATGTCCTGAAATAAAATAAAATAACTTTAAATGCACCATTAATGTCCACATAAAAGCACGTCATCAAAACTATACATAAAAGTGAAACAAATAAAAGACAATTACCGTGTGCACCTCAAGGTCCATGTATAGAATATTGTTACTCTGGAGTCGTATGTTCTTTGTCTGCAGCCATGTTGCTCTGGCCCACAATGCCACTGACCACATAACATCACATTTGCTACAATGCCCTCAACTAGACTGTGGTTTAGACATGTTTTTACCTTTTTAACACCTTATGTATTACATTTTCAATCACCTTTTAATGACTATATGAACTTTAATGCTTATGAATTTATAACTGAGACATACACAATAAACATATCCATGTAACTGCGTTACATGGCTAATTGCACAGGATAATTGTAAAATACGTATTAGTGTGCGTATCATTAAAATGTATAAGTTTATAAATATGAATATGAAAAAATGAAGCCAACTCGGAAGTGCCAAAAACTGCAGTTCCTCTAGTGGCCACTTGAGGCTGGCTCCAGAAGCAAGTCAATCCCCATAGACCCCCACGTTAAAATACCAACTTTACCAGCTGAAATAAACATGTTTACAGCCTGGTACAAAAAACAGTTTTAATGTCCATAGCTAACTTCCCATTTCATGACAACTTTACGGGTAGTGAATTTTATATATAACTCACCATTTACATTTTATTAAGGCTTAAAGTTACGCATGATTAAGGCTGAGTGACAGGCTGTCTGCTGATAGGCAGATAGTGTCCTCGACTTTTCAGTCAGATGCACCCCTCGCTCCTCCACAGTGCCAGCCATTCATCCAAATATGATCACCTCTGACTCAAAAAAAAAATAAAAAAAACCAAACAAACAAGATGGCTTTGGCCGAAATACTGAACTCGAGGTTTCAGAATGGCAGTCCACAAACCAATGGGTGATGTCATGGTAGTGGTGTACATTATTTTTAACAGTCTGTGATAAGCATATGTATATCCTCCTGAGACCCATGCTTGTTTTTATGTATGTATTTTAATTTCTCCAAGCTATTTGGGATCAAACACTGTTAACGATAATTAAGTCCCAATGTCCTCAAACGAGACAATAATAAAGTCGCAATGTCTTCAAGTGACTACTTTCTAATTAACAGCGTCTTTGCTTGTTACTGTTGCTAAACTTGTCAAATTTGTATGGCGTATCATACTACTAATATCCTTGATCATAAAAAACAAATTTAAACCATTAAACTTTATCAGTTTTTGTCGACTTTTGCGTCGCGGTCAGCTGCAGTCTGAATTGGCTTAGGTGGCCGCCATCTTGTTTACATGATGGATAACATGAATTTGTGTAGCGTGGTCTTACTACCAAGAGATGGCACAAAAAGTGTCCACGAATTAGACCTCGGTTAAGCAGAAGGTATAAGGTCCAGTAAAACCAAAATGTAATGTCCTCTAATGAGAACACAAGGTCTCAGGAGGATATAGACCAATATATAATAATTATGTAATGATAGATATGAAGAATACTTGCGTACAAGTAATGTGTAGTCTGTGTAAAATATGTACAATATATAAAACATTATTATTTGAAATAAGTATAGAAATATATTTATTGAATATAGAAAAATAGATAAATGAAATTAATATTTTATAACTTATATACACCATATATAAATAACAATGTAATAGGTATGTGTATACAGTAATATAACATTAATGAGGTAAGATGCTACAAAGTAGCTGTCATGTTGTAAGTGGTGGTTGACGGTGACAGAGACAACAGTGTTAAGCTCTTGTTAAAAGTCTGACTGCTGTCAGAATAAAGGACCTGCAGTAGCGCTTCCTCTTACACTGTGGGTGTCTGTTGCTGAAGGAGCTGTTTAAGGCCCTCACAGTCTCATACAAGGGGTGATGGGTGCTGTCCATGATTGACGTCAGCTCCGCTAACATCCTCCTCTTACCCACCTCCTCAGTTAAATCATTAGGACAGCCCAAGACAGAGCTAGTCTCATTATTACTGTAAAGCAGTTCAGTCATTTATGTTGCTATTAATCTGCACACTCAAAGACACAGAAACAATATTAACACATTTTATTGTATTTGTTTTATACCACAGTACTCTGCAGGTCTCAACCTGGACTGATGATATTTTAATGGGATTCCAAGTGACACAGTTAAACTCAAACATTATCTTTCTGTAAACTTTGCTCAGCTTCACAGTTTACGTTCACACCACCCCACGTCAGAGGCTGTAAAATGTGTTAATGTTTCAGTAGGAAATATGTTGGTGATGCTGTAAACTTGACCTGAAATGCCAAATGAACAGAAAACAGACAGGATGAGCTGTAAGCACTTGGAGTCACGATGAATTATATTTCAGCAGTTTTCTATCCTGCTTGACCGGAAGTTAAATAACATCTTCTTCTCCTTGTTCACCTCAGCTCAGCAGAGCAGAAGGAGAAATGGCTCTCCCTCCTCAAAAGGTAAACTCTACCTTCATGTATCCACATAAAGTGTGTTCGTATGTGTGTGAAGAGAAGAGAAACCTGACGCATCATGTCTCCTCTGTGTTCTCTTTCCAGTCGGATAAAAGAAGAGAAAGAGAAGGAAGAACCTAAAACCATTCCTCTGAGAGTGTACGGGAAGGGAATCAATACTTTTGCTGTTGTAAGTTCACTCTGATAGTGCCTCTACTTTCACATGTGTGCACTAACATTTTCTATACAAACACTTGTCCTATTTAAACCTCAGACAATTAGTTTGGTATGCTCCTGACTTCTGAAGTGAGAGTGAACACCATGGTGAGATTGAAAGAGCTGTCTGAGGCCATCAGAAAGAAGATTGTAGCAGCTTATGAGTCTGGTAGAGGTTTAAAAAAATCTCAAAAGAATTTGAAATCAGCCATTCCACTGTCCTGAAAGTGGTCTACAGGTGGAGGACATTCAAAACAACTGCCAACATGCCCAGATCTGGCCGTCCAAGCAAGTTCACCCAGAGAGCAAACCGCAAGATGCTAAAAGAAGTCTCCAAAAACCCTACAATGTCATCATGGGACCAACAGCAGGCAGGCTCTTGCTCCAAGTTTAACTTTCATGGGAGGTGTGCAAGAAGGAAACCTTTGCTCTCTAAGAGAAACATGAAGGTCAGACTGACGTTTGCCAGAGAGAACCTAGACAAAGACCAGGACGTCTGGAATGATGTGCTTTGGACAGATGAGTCTAAAATTGAATTATTTGGACACCATAACAAAGGGCATGTTTGGCATAAACCAAATACAGCATTCCAGGACAAGAACCTCATACCAACTGTGAAACATGGAGGATGAAATGTCATGGTTTGGGTAGTTTGAGTGGGTGGAAGTTCGCTGCATAGATCAGCCTCTCATTGGGCGGAACGAGCCACCCGCTGAAGTCCCGCCCTACCACCTCCGGTTGTGTAGCAGTTTTCAACACGTCCTTTACTAACTTTTGCAGTGTTTGATCTTGCAGGGATGTAGCCATTTTTCTGCCATGGTTCACGTCCTGTAGGTGATATTTTTGTGGGCATGGTACACCAAAACCTGTTTCTCCCCCGGCAATATTTTTGCAAGCGCACCGTTGCTGTGGCACCGCCCAGAACGATTGTGATTGGTTGAAAGAAATACAAGCAGCCGGGGCGTTTTTTTCTCCAATCTTAAAGTGAGAGTCGGCCCAGCCAGACCTTTCTTTTCTTGAGAAAGGTCTGGTGAGTGAGACTGTGGTTTGGGGAACTGGCCAGCTCACCATCATAGAATCCACCATGAATTCTACCGTGTATCAGAGGGTGCTTGAGGAACGCTTGGACCCTGCAACATGACAATGACCCAAAACATAACAGTAAATCCACCAAGGACTGGCTGGAAACCAAAAAATGGAGAGTCCTGGAATGGCCGAGTCAAAGCCCAGATCTTAATCCCATTGAGATGCTGTGGGGTGACTTGAGACGGGCTACAAGAAGCGTCTCAAGTCAAGTCAAGTCACAAGTTATTTTCAGCTAAAGGGGGTAGCTATTAGGGGGTAGGATGTCCTAACGTCTTCCTCAGTTAGAATACGCCTTTATGTTGATATCTTTTGTTTAATGAGTAAAACAAGGTAATTTTTGTTGTTTACGTGCAATTAAATCACTTCACGATATGTGAACATTTCTTAATAAAGAACTGAATATTTAATGGGGTGTCCTATTTTCTCACGACTGTATATATGTAGTGATACTTCTTGTGTTTGCTCTGTCCTCACAGTGTAGAGTATGTGATGTCATGTTGATCCTGTACCATATATGTCCGTGTGTCCTTCTCCCCCCATTAGACCAAGACGCTCCCAGTCAGCAACTCAGATTCAACCAATGAGGTGGTGCGACTGGCCCTGCAGCAGTTCAGCATCATAGTAAGTGAAGAAAAATTTTCACTTGCGTTTATAAAAGTGTAGTATGTGACATGACAACAGTTCATATTTAACATATGAAAATGGAGTGGGTATGAAGAAGCAATAAAAACTGATATCAGCACTTTAAATAAAACGTATAACTTTAGGCTGAGACTATTGTAAGACCAATTACAATCACAACTGTGTGTCTGTTTAGGTCAAATATACAGATAGGCTGCCTCATTTTTCCTGGACAAACCAAGATACACAAGATACAGTTAAATTAAAGGATGACAAGAAGAACAGATTATGTGTTTTGACTTATTACAAAAAAGTACACAGTAGTTTTTAGTTTGATGATTTCTTGTACAACTGCAAAATAACCCTTAGAGACTCATCTTTGTCTTTTTTAGGGGAACAGGGTGCCTTTGGGGGACATAGCAGGTCGACTGTATATGCCACATAGAAGTGATATACATCATCTGAAAGCTGGGAACCTGAAAATTAATTTGAGATTCAGCTCAGCACTGGGTGTCAAGTTGTTCTAGTAAGGGCTTAGACATTCCCATTCCCATGCTCAACTAAGTCCCATAACTTGTTGAATCCATTTTTTGGGTTGATGCCAAGAGTTACACAGATTTGGAGCTAAATTTAGGCATTTTTGACTGCTCTACAGTTGATAAAAATGGTCAAAATCCATCACAAATACCACACTGGGGTTCAAACTTGCCTCCTTATTGCAAAAATTTCTGTCTAGGATCCAAAATGGGTCATTTGTAAGATTTGTGTAGATTGAGGATTTTTTGAAATGAGTCATAGGAGTTATGTGATGTCAGTGTTTGACTGTCCAAACGCGTTAAGGCCTAAATGTGCAGTGTGTAAATTTAAGTGAGATTTAATGGCATCTAGCAGTGAGGATCGCAGTGTGCAACAGGCTGAAACTTCTCTCAGTTGGAATTCTTTCAGAGTTCATTGTTCAGGAGGCATGGAAATAAACGGACCCAGTGTTTAAAACAGGTAAAACACTAAATAAAGCAGTTTCACATGACAATTGAGTGTGTCTCCTACACTGTTTAATCTGTACTCACTTTTTAATCTGACAATTTAAGATGGATAAATTCAGAGGGTTTTCACCAGGAGACAAATGATCTGTAGAGGTCTTTTCCTCTCGAAAACAGTCTCCTTGATTAAAACACCAAATGAAGCAGTTTCACTTTAAAAGCGTGTCCGCAGCGAAACGCTCATGCCCCTATGTAGAGTTAATGTTTGGTTTGTCCCTTCAGGACTACTGTAGAAACATGGCGGTGCAACACGGTAATGGGGCAGCCTGCGAAAAAACAAATATTGCTAGTATTTTCAGGTGATTATACACACAAAAAAAACATACTATATTATCTTATATTTAATTTTTGTCAGTGTTTCCCCTGTATCCTCCACACTGGAGCTGTAAGGTAAGACTCTGACAGTAGCGTCATGATAACCTCACCTGTATGAACATGTGTCAGTGTTGAGGCTGTTAATTAGCCTCATACCATTGTGTTTTATTGATTTAGCAAATGTTTGGTGGTCCACCTGTATTAGCGCTCTAGGACTACTCGTTAATCGTCGCAAATGTCGCCGTTTCGCCGACAATACCAACAAGTTAAACTGCTTAGATGAAGTGTGAGCTAACTGCAGCTGCAGCCTGTTGAGCTCTCATTATGAGGCGGAGCTAACAAGATGGCCGCCATCATTGAATTAATTGCAGCGTCACCAGAGTATGTCAATTAGCGCAGTGAGACAAAAACATGAAGGGAGGTGAGATTCACACCGTGATGAAGAATTACTTAATGACATGGAAAGTTTATTGCTACATGTAGGCTATATATATATATATATATATATATATATATATATATATACTCACAGTATAAAATATGAACCACTACTGAATGTTTAAATTTTTCAAAGTAAATGAAAAAATATTGGCAATTACCTATAATAGACTTAATGATGTAATTAAACAAGGTTTGTTACAGTAGCCAAATTATGTCACCTGAGAAGGGGACAAATGCTGAGCTCACTATAAACGGCAGAAGCTGAAATGAAATTACTTTATGACTCTATTTTTACTTTTATTGTAGTGGTTGTGAAATTAATTTATAAACGTCTTATCTAAGCTCTGTCTTTTAATTGACCAAGCAACAGTTGGAACAGCTGTAAAGAGGAGCAAAAACAATGTACAAAAAGTACAATGTAAAGGTGCCCTGAAGTGATGCCCACTTTTGTAGCAGTCACATTACAATATTGCATCATTTCTGGAGTGAGCTTTCCCCCTATATCCTCATTATGAAATTGGCTACAAATCCATATTTTAAAGCTGATACTTAAAAAAAACTCTTCCCTAGGCAGGATTCCCACAGTCATTAAAAACCTCGAAAAGTCATGCAATTTCACTGTTACATTTTCCAGGCCAGGAAAAGTCATGACATTGGTATAAATCATTGAGAGTTTGGGAAAAAACATGTAATCTGTTGTGTGTAATGAAATTGTCACTGTAATCTTCTGTGGATAATCTTACACATAATGTAACGTAACATAATGGAGAATTTATTTCCTGTAGCTGTCGACGTATTGTTGCTCTAATAATTCATGAGGCTGTGATTATCCTAGAGGTCACCAGAGGTAATTTTATACAGTGATGTCTGTTTAAAAATGGTCTCACTACATTGAAATGGCTACTATGGGGGCGAACATCATCACACATGAATACAAATTGGGCTAATTATATCCACAAGAGTCTCAGCTTTCCAGTCTTACCCAAGTCATGCAATTTCAAACACTCTTTGAAATTCATGCAATTTCAAAGAGTGTTTAGTGACCTCAGTATGAAGAAATATTCAAATACACCAATTTTAGAATAGGTGATAAAAATACATTTATACTGCATGCAGAAAACTGAATGTGAATAGTATAAAGTGGGCATGTCTGTAAAGGGGAGACTCGTGGGTACCTATAAAACCTATCTTCATTCAGATATCTTGTGTTGAGAGAGGTCAGGGGATTTTTTTAAACTCCCAAATACTGTTATCAGTATAAAGCTGTTTCCACAGCAGCCAGCTGCTCCGCTAACTGACCCATCATATCAGCTGACCAATCACTCAGAAAATTCATTTATTTGAGGGTGTGTTGCTCTTCCATTTTTTTTTCCACACGTTCCTCATCTTTAAACATCCTTCACGATGGCAGTCCTTGAATGGAACACGCCCCTTTTTGGCAACTTTGTGGCCGCACACAATGCATGCTTAAATTCATTGTTTTAAATGTAGAGGTGCAGCAGGCGTGCTGAAACACCAGAGCGACACCAGAGTGATGTGCAAGCATTCCTGAGCACCATTTTTTCAGGGTGCGATGGCTGTGTCCTGAGATAAACAGAGTTAAACACAGCATCACACACTGCAAATCGTATGTCGAGGAAAAAATGATCACAGCCGACAGATATCTTTCTCCTCTTCTGTAAATATCAGTGGTAAATTTGGTCTTTGGTCAAAGTTGGTCATGTCAGTGCTGGGCTACCCAGAGCTTTACATCAGTGTCATGGACATTATTTTAGGTGGACACACTTAAAAAAACAGTGCCTGAAAGAAAATCAGCCCTGCACTCAGGATTTCAGGTCAGTAGGGTATGATACAGTGCTTGTTATGGTTGCCAAGCAACCTCAGATACATCCTGCCTCCCTGCTTTTTAAAGTTCACACAAGATTAGCACCCTGCGTCCAACCTTGTGTTTTCAAAGACCTGGCATGTGTACGGCCCCTTAGTTCAGCAGCACGAACATTTCCTTATCAAACACAGACAACAACGGACAATGTTTTCACAGAGACCCCCGTAGGCTAATGTCCGCTCAGTTGTGCTAGTTGCATGTGATGTAAACACACAGCATGTGAAAACTGAAAGAGAATACTTTCCTTTGTCACATCTGAGCTTCCTAAAATGTGTTCCTCCTCTGCAGGACAGGCTGTGTGGTGTTTAAGGCATCTTGTTCTCTGAGGCTGTGCAGAGTGTGTCCTGTTTTCCTGACTGTCTTTGTCTCTGTTTTGCTCAGGGGAATGTAAAAGACTTCCAGCTGTGGGTCATCTCCAAGAGGGACAACACCCCCTATCCTCTAATAGGTCAGTGAGTGAGCTTTGACACCGGGATGAGATGTTTTTAGACTCACTAGTTCCATTCATTCCTACAGAAGAGTGTGTGTTGTGTTGCCCAGGTCCTGCAGGATGCAAGCGAGGGGTCCCAGTGTGTGTGCTGTAATGTTATGGTGCTGTTGAGGTTTAAGGCAGCTGTATCAAGCCTCCTCTTGTCCTCTGTCTCAGGTCATGAGTTCCCCTTCAGTATCCAGATGAGTCATGTGAGACAGACGATGTCTCAGGGAGGTGGGAGCAGGGACGTGGACAGACAGAAGGCCATGCAGGTGGAGCAGATGCAGGTGTACAAGCAGTGTCAGTTCATCATGAAGCCTCGACCTGCTGAAACACTGCAAGTATCTGCAGGTGAGATCGTTATTCATTCATAACTAAAATAGTAGATTAACTCTGTGTGCTGATGCATTCTGGGATACTGTGTTGTTTCTTCAGAGTGGTCTCAGAAGACATTTAAAAGGAGGCGTTCTCTCATCACCTGGGCCTTCTGGCGAGGCTCCTCCTCTCACCTAAATGAGCTGTCTCTCGCCGGCGCACCCCGCGGCTGCCTGTTCGGACAGCCGCTCAGCTCTGTTTGTGTAGATGACACTCTGCCAAAGCCAGTGATGGTGAGTGGTGGTGATTAAAATCAGTCATGCCTTGTTTCTCCTTTTCTCTCACTCAGTATTGTAACGATAAAGAAATACAGAGTTCCGACATTTTAAAGCAACTTAGATATAAGTATTTTTAGAACGTTTCTAATGCCACACAGAATGACATTTAACCAAAAAAGCCGCAGCCAACACCCAACCGGCCCGTTCTCCCTGTCAAACAAGCCGTATGTGTTGTGAGACTCTCTCCACCTCTGTCTGCAGGAGACCAGAGAGAAAGGCGTTTTTAAAAGTCTCTGTGTGTTCAGCTCTCAGTACGTCTGTAGCTTCTCTCTGAATCTCTGTGGTTTAGAGTTCAGTTTCTCTCCTGCGTCCTGTTTTTACTTTAGCTATCTGCTTTATTTCACTGTTTCATGTTCACTATCCGCCATATTGGAAGTTGTGTGAAGTTGCTGCTTGAAAACTCAACATTTCCTGATTTTGCTGCTTCACAATTAAAGTTTTTACATAACAAAATAACAGAGAATTTTATTTTGAAGACTCTATAGGAATTAAAATATGTTTATTACAGAATTGGCCAAACTTTGTTAGCAGCTTTTCTTCAATAAAATCAAGTGTAATAATACGGCAGGGAGGAAAAGTAAAAGCAGAATCAGCCGGTGAGATGCTGATGAAGAGCTGCAGACAACAGGCTGCAACCTGATGAAGACGTTAATGTGAGAGGCATCCTGTAAATTATTTTTTAAAAAAAATAGATGCCACCATTTATTTTGAGATGCAATGGCAGAAAAAACAATGCATAAAATTCTTACTCCCCATGTGTTATCATTTTTAAAACTTTTTAAAGATTGATTTAAGACATTTTAATTCTAATTTAGACCTTATGTTTAGATTATATAGTTAAGTGGCTATTAAGACCATCTAAGGATCTGCAGGAACCCTCAAACAGCTGGAAATAATCTCCCTTACGTTCTCTCTTCTCCCTATCAAGGACATGATGGCCTTCTTGTACCACGAGGGTTCTTGGACACGGGGGATCTTCCGGCGGCCAGCGGGGGCTCGGGCAGTCAGGGAACTGCGGGAGTCTATCGACAGCGGAGAGTTTCAACTTCCTCTGACAAGAGACCATGTCTTTGTCATTGCCGGAGTATTTAAGGTGAGACAGTGTGAGATTGTGAATTTGAATTGGATAGATGGGTTTAAAGAAAAATCCCCATCTTTTTTGCACATAAACACAATTTAATGAAACTAAGTGGCTATAAAACCCAAACCAGCATCATGGTGACACAGTTTCTGAGTGTATTTGTTTACACGCATCGCTGTTAGTTACTTTAATGACCCACATCTGTAAGCACAACATTAATCCGCTTCCATCCACCTGAGCCTCTGTGTGACACGCCATGCAGCTTCGTTAACAGGACAAGCTGTTCACAACAGAGGTGCCGAGATTGGCTTGTTAATGTAATCTGGATTATAATCTGTTATTATCTGGAGGGATAACAGAGAGCCTCTGTGCACGAGTGCTTTAATGTGTCCTATGTTTACATGACAACACACGAGATTTCTTATTTATATTCACTAATATATGTTGCAGCTGTGATACTGTCGATCAATTTTTGAGTTCAGTTAATGGGAGTACACATCTCTTCATCATATCGAGTAATCAAAATATCTTAAGTACAGGAACAAAGTGAAGGAATAAACATTGATTTGTTTTTTTTTGTTTTGTTTTTTTATTCTGAATGATCATTTTCATATGTTTTATGATTTACTGATGTGTGTGTGTTTTCAGGATTTCTTGCGCAGCATCCCAGGCAGCTTGCTGTGTTGTGAACTGCACGAAGAATGGATGGACGTGCTGGAGGAAGAGGAGGAGGAGGAAGAGCAAGTGCAGGACATAAAGAGGTAGCATGCATGTTGGAACACATGCTTTTTCAGATGCTCAGAGATTTGGCTGTTCTTCATGTCTAATTATTCTCTTCCTGTTTCCTGGTTCTGTCTCTCTGCAGGATGATTCGTCGTCTGCCCAAAGAAAATGCCCTGCTGCTACGCCACCTGTTGGCCATGCTACACGGTATCGTGGGAAACGCCCACGAGAACCAGATGACGAGCTTCAATTTATCAGTGTGCATTGCTCCCAGCATGCTTTGGCCTCCTGGAGTGCCCTGTAGCCCGGAAGTGGAGGGAGAAGGAACTAAGAAGGTAAGGAAGGGGCAGGAAGAATAGTGTAAGACAGGTTCTCTTTATCAGTTACATGATCGATGGCTGTGTCTCAATTCAGGGGCATTTGAAGACCGATTGCGTCACATCAGTGCGACCAAGGCTGTCCCATTTCTGCTACTGCCATTTTGACTTGGACACGCAGGATTGTTGTAATGTTGCAATGCAGTTAAATCAGTCTGTCTGGGCCACGTCACAGTTTAGGAACAAAGACAAGTTTGTTAGTTGTGTCTGCGGGCTATAAAAAGACACAGAAAAACATAGTGAGCCAAATGCCACCTTTAGTTTCTTAACTCCTGCGATCCTGGGATCAGGAGAACTTCATTTACTCTGTGGTTTGGAAATAAAAGTGGTTGCAAAAAAAGTTTTACACCACAGCCGTCATTAACTGAACGGCTCAGTTATGTTTGTGTTATAAGTATCATGCACTCTAATGTTGAGCTGCCTAAACTGAATGTTATTTTTGGAACAAGATTGTTGTTTGTTATTTCACCTGCTAACGAGCACTTTGTAACGCCTCTAAAGCACAACAAGCTTTCCTCAATGTAATGTCTCAAATCAGCTTTATAGACGGGTGAAAGCTCTCATTTACAACAGGTTGACTGTGACAGGAAAAAAGCAAACTGCAGTTAAAATGTCCTGTAAAAGCACTCTGTTCCATAAAGTATTTATCATTGTAACGTTAACTGCTCTGAAATGATGCACTTTAAATGTTGGGGGCAGAGACAGGAGTGTCAAAGTGCTTCCACACAGCCTTGGAAATTTTGAACACTGTGAAATGCTGAGCAATTGTCACACTGTTATGATTGAACCTTTAGTTGTTACACTAGTTTAATATCAACCTGTCTCTTCCTCTTGTGTGATGCAGGTGTGTGAGCTGGTCAAGTTTATGATTGAACACTGTCAGCAGATTCTGGGAGAGATTCCCTCCACCCTGTTTGGAGGGCCGCCACAAAGACTCAACACTGACGAGATGGGATCAGGTACAGATGTGTTTCTGTCTTTAACTGGAGAGAGATGATAGATTCATGGTTACTGTCTATTTCACATGCATTTCCTGCATAGATTTAGATTTTTTCAGTGTTTGTTTACAATAACTTCCTGGTAGAAACCCATTGGGTCAGAGAGAAAAACATTTTGTCATGTTTGGCATATAACAAGAAAGAATTGCACAAGTCACACAAGATTAGAAACTGGAAAATGTGATTTTTATTTCATTATTTCTTTAAAATGATATCTTGTAAATGTCACTGAACCCCCACAGAGTACAGAAAGTCTCTATAAAGAGTTTACTGACTGGCATCTGCAGATTCTGAGCTATGAAAGAAAAGTTTTCACAGATAGTTTGTCTCTCACAGTCTTCATACGTGCGTCTCATTTATGTCTTCTGTTTTGTGTCTTCGTCCTTTCTCTGGACCGTCAGACTCCTGGCTGTACTCTCTGACCGACTCGTCCTACGACAGTCTAGAGAACGAGTTGGACAACAGCAGCGGTGGCTCACCGGGCTTCAGCAGCAGGAGGCACATTCGACTCAAACCACTGCGAGGCAGCCTGGACTCCATCACAGTCAGTGACTATGACCAGGACACAGACCCAGATAACCCCCAGGCCCAAGCTGACAGCCCACAGGGTCAGAAGTTACACCCACTGGGGAGAAGCAGAGGCAGGAGACAGGACGCAGACCTCTCCTGCTCCACCCAGGACTCACTGACCGTGGACTCCACCCTTGACTCACTGTCCCTGGATGGTCGGCACAGGCAGCGGAGGCGTTCAGAGCCAGCGATAGCGTACATGGCCAAGTTCCGGCCATGCGCCTCAGAGAATACTGATGGTCTCTCTGGTGAGGATGAAGATGATGAGGAAGAGCTTTCCAAGAAGCCCATCTACCACACACTCGCTCATACACACTCTAGAGGTCACACTCGGAGGGGTGGAGGTGAATCCGTGTTTAAGCTCCATGATGTGAGGTCAGCAGCTCAGGAAGTGAGCTCCCCCAGCCTTTCCTCCACCCCCAACTCCCCTGCACCAACCCGCTCCTCCCTGGACTCTCTCGACTCCCTGCACTCCCTCAGCAGCGACCACACCTGCACAATCAAACGGGGGCTCCACCCAACCAAGACACATCTGTCCTCCAGCTCTCCCCCTCTACCTGTCCCTTTATCCGTCCCCACCTTACCATTCACCATAGGCTCTGCTCTGACCCCTGGTGGACAACCAGACCTGGGGACCTGTCCAAAAGACTCCGCACCAAAAGAAGCACCCAACTGGGGAACATTAAAAGGCTGCGGGGGCCTCCACCCAAACTCTTGGCTGAAAAAAGGTCGCAGGCTGTCACTAACCCAACAAGACAACTTGGACAAGGAAGAGGAGGACAAGACAGGGGTGAGTAAAATAATCTTTATTCATTATATATGTACCTTGACCTGCTGAAACACTGCATGTATCTGCAGGTGAGACTGTTATTCATTCAAAGCAAAAATAGTAGATACCTCAGCTGCAGAGAGAACCAGGCCTTTATTTCTTATTTACCATTTTAACTGGTTGTTAAAGCTACAGCTGGTACTTTAAATGTCATATTTGCTGAACTATATCCACACAGTAGTACATGAGGAGGATAATCTGTGGAAAGAATCATGTTCCTCCTCCTCATAGTGCTGCTAATGGCATTGCAGCACGTGACTGAAAACAACCAGAGTCAAGGAGTCCCTAACATAACTGTCAATTTGTTTTTTTGTTTTTTAAATAAAGTTACCAGCTGTAGCTTTATGCAAACTCTGCACGTCCATGTTTCGCAGTCATCATGATAAATTCAGCATAAAGTACATTATCACAGCACTAATTTCATTTCAAGTGCTTTTAAGCTACTGCTAATTAAATGACACGTACTGCACAGATGTTCCACATGCTATTCATAAAAAGCCTTTAATTTGAAACATCTGCAGGAAGTAACAAGTTTAATTGACATTTACTTAAGAGCTCTCATAAATAACAGTTGATTATAAGTGATAACCATTAATTAGATGATTAAAACAGTATTTGTGTTAAAGCAACAAAGGAGTTAGTTACATAACAGCTTTTGTATTAATGGTGAAAGCACTTTATGCTGGATTTAGCATGAATAGTCATGGTGCAGGTACTTCCTCAATAAACTTTCACTCATGTAACATGTAGGGGAGAACATGGTGCTTGTCTTGGTTGGAGTGGTTACTGGTGTCAGATAACCTCCTTGATCTTTCTCTGGCTGTTGACTGGCTCTTGGTTGATGACCTTTGACCCCTGCACAGTAAATGTTGTCACGGGTTTTGACCTGGTGTTCACTCAGTCTATCGTCGGGGCTCCCTTCTGTTTCAACCATGTGATAATGATGTCATATACCTCTTCATTCTTCTTTGTTAGGGTGTACCAGCAGATATCTTAAAGGGATAATTTGGACCCCAGCTGAACCATAGTCAGTGTATTAAATACATTAGCTAAGCAATGGGGTGGATGTCAGCAACAAGATGTTTTTAGTGTAGTTTAAGTGTAAACCATACAGAGTATTTTCACTGCTTTACTTTGCTGTCAGACAGCAGTTTCAGACAGGAAAATGATGCCCTGATATCATTCTCTTCAAAGTCAGACTCCATTGAGAAAAACAGTGATTAAACATTGCTGAACACAAGAGCTGCTGGTCTACTGCCATCAGTTTATTTATTTGTGTTATTGAGTGACTTTGGCATTTAACAGGTTGGTTTGGATTCACCAAAGTCACACAATAACACAAACTATCAAACTGATTGATACAGCGTTGGACCAGCAGCCCCACACAACGTGATTTTGCCAAGTAGGACATGTTCTTGGATCAACATCCCACACTGCGTTCCTGGAACTTCTGACTCTGACATCAGTGTGCTGCTCCTGTGCTTCTCTCAAAAATCCTTTGTGCTTCTTCAGAGCTAAGCTACTTTTCCAAATTGAAGTTAGTACAACTAAAAAGTAAAACTGAACAAAAACCTTGAAAACAACTGCAGGGTCAGAGAGATTGCTTGCTAACTAGGTTGGCTATGCTAGTAAGTAAACTTGCCAATAGACAAGAATATTAGCGAGCTAGCTTGCTAATAGGTAGGCTATGCTAACAAGTAAACGGTTCACTAACAAAGAGTAAGGATAAAAGCATTTTCAGTTGCAAATTCCTGCAGTTAACACATTTTCCCTCCTTTTTTTGTGGATGATTTGTTTACGTCGACATCAACATAGCAGTATTGGTGCTGGATCAACATGGCAATGATGGCCCTGGATCAACACCAGCACTGCAATCTTGCAAAAGGATAGCTTTGGCAATTAAGAGGGAGGGAAAATGTGTCCTTCACAGGTCTTTGCAACTGCAAAAATGACATTATCCTTACTCTTTACGTTAATTAACATTATTTTAGCCTATTGTCATGCTTACTTGTTAACATAGCCTACCTAGTTAGCAAGCTAACTCGCTAAAAAGCTAGTTTAGTTCTGAGGTAGCACAAACAAATTTGAGAGAAGCACAGGAGCAGCACACTGATGATGTCAGAGGCATGTCCTACTTGGCAAAATCACGTCATGCCAGCAGCTCCTATGTTCAGTGAGCTAAAATTGCTGTTTTTCTCAATGTAATCTGTTGGCTTTGATGAGAGCATAGATTGGAAACTACAGCTGTTAACGGCCTTGCTGTCTGACAGCGAGGTAAAGCTGTTAAAATACTCTCAGCATAGCATACACCTAAACTCTTAAGAGTTTCACAACAACAAAGGGGACTAAAATACATTTTGCTGCTGCCCACCCATCCACAGCAGTATATGCTTAGAATCTGTGTTGGACTCCAGCCTGCTTCTCCTAACTGGGGGTGTGTCAACTGACATCTACTGTATGTAATACACCGACTATGAATGTGAAAACATCCGAATTGTACCTGTAATGTGTTGAATTGTTTGTGGTAGGTGCTGATTACCTGTCACTTAAAAATCTCAGGTAGATGTTCTTACAGTCCAGACACATAAGAGGGGGGGTCACGTGGGATACCTCATGTAGTCCCTGTTCTGTCTGTCATTGGTATAAGGTAGGGCAGGATTTTAATCATCCATTCCTGTAGGTCTGACATGCTGCCGTGTCTTAACTGACTACATATTTTGCTCCGTGTAGGAAGGTCCTAATAGTAATCCCGTGTTGTCGGTGGTGGTTACAGTTGAACTTGAGGGTGAGTTTCCTGTGCACTGGTCTTTATCTTCACATGAACAGCAGCGTACTGTCTTGTTCCTGCTCACTGGTTAGGCTGATGTGAGTTAAAGGAATGCTACACCAGCAAAATGACTATTTGTATATAAATTACTCACCACGTTACCTTGATTCCTGAGGAAACTTTTTCTTGCATGCCTCCACAGTGAACGGAGAATCCAAAAAAGGTCAACATTCTCTCATTATTTGAGGCACAGCAAAACTATATCAAAACAAACTCAGACTGGATTATACTGTATGAGATGTAAACAGATGTTTTGCTTTTGTTAAACAGTCATTCATAAATAATGTTAACCATTTCTGAATTCTTTGTTTATCATGGAGGCTTGGGTGAAAAGCAAAGTTTCCTTCATGAAATTAAGATAACATGTGGTGAGTAATTTATGTACATGTGTAATGGTAATTTTGTGGGTGAAGTATTCCTTCAATGCTGTGGATGTTGGATCAGTGCAATACAGTCATCCTTGTAGCAGGTGTCAGGTGGGTGCTGTTATCAAAGCAGCTGTTCAAAATACTCCAGGTTAGCTACAAATGGGGAAGATGGGTGATGCCATCGCTGTGCCTTTAGTGTGTGTGTGTGTGTAGGCAATATGTTGTGTCTGGACACATCTCTGGCAGTTGGAGGATAAGTTGTCCTTCAGCAGAGGTTGCCAGTAAACGGTACACTGACATCTAAAGACACCAGTCTAAGTGTGAGGGAGTCCAAAAGATCAAAGACTTGAAGTGTCCTCTTACTTACACTGGTGTTTTTAGATGTCAGTGTACCGTTTCCAGCACCTTACATAAGACCTCTGCCCAGAGATAAAAACCAGCTGCTGGAGATGTGTCAAGGTGCAACTAAAGGCACAGCCATGAGCTCACTCATCTCCCCTCATGTAGCCAACATATGCACTAAATATTTTAACACCCCCACCTGACCATCTGTACTTGGACGACATATTCCCTAAACAATGCTGCTCCAACATCTTCACCTGACACATCAATAGTACCAACTCACACAACAGGTTACTGGTGAGCAGGAGCAAAGCAGTAAGCAGGGGATAAAGTGTGAACAGGAAACTCACCCTCATAAATCAATATCTCAGTTCAAACTGAAACCACTTCTTCCAACACAAGACTAGTAGTAAAAACCTAAGGCACAGAGCAGAGTATCTAATCTGGGAGGAGGACACAGAGGAGGTGCAGCAGGTCCAGGGACACTCAAAGCTATTAGCAGAGGGAGTAATGATTAAAATCCCCCCGTCATTAAGACCATGATGCTAATATCACAACGGGGACCACTACAGGCAATCCAGTGGACTCCCTTATGGAGCCAGGACAGTGACTTTAAAGGGATGGCTAGGAGCTTTGGAAGTGGGGTTGTGTGAGGTACTTACACTTGATGTACTTGCTCTCAGTTTGGAAAAGCAGGCTGGAGTCTGACATGGAAGCTAAGCAATGTAGTGGTGTCAACAGGGTCAGCTAGAAAAAAATCTATCAGTTTTAGTGTATACTACATTAACAGTATTTTTGCTGCTTTACCTTAGTGTCAAACAGCGATTTCCGACAGGGAACTGAAGCTGTTAGCCTACCCTTCAAAGCCAGACTCCACTGAGAAACAGTGATTTAACATACTCCGCAGCAGTACATTGCTTAGCTCCTGTGTCAGCACTCCAAACTGGGGGGCGTGCCAACAGACATCTACTGTAGGTACTGTAATACACTGACTGTGGTTAAGTACCTTGTACAACCCCACTTCAAAAAAAATCAGAACTATCCCTTTAAATTTTGGAATCAAATATTAAAAATAGAATAAAAAAAATTTAAATGTCTACATTTCCTTTATCAGTTTAGGTTTTGTATTTAATGACTTTTTTTTTTCAATGCCAAAAGTTTAAAGTCCTGTCTTGCTCCATGCTCCCTCACAATGCTGGACTGTCAGAACAGAACGTTCCACAAATTACCCAACACTTTAAGATCTCTGCTGGTACGACCTGGGTAAAGAAGAATGGAGAGGTATAAGGCATCACTTACAGTGGCTGTGGGGAAGAGAGGTGAACACCAGATCAAAACCAGCCAAGGCATCTATTGATCAACTAAGAGCCTGTGAACAGCCGTGGGAAGATCAGGGAATCCATCCAAGACAGACCATCCTAGAACCAAAGCAGAGAAATGTCATATAATCATCAATATGTGGTGAAGAAAATCTGAACTCAAAGGTCAATGCACTCCATGTTTCTACCAACAGGGAGGACCTGCTGATAAGTTGCTCACACTTGGGAAACCCGGCCCAGAGAAAGGAAAAGCAGGTGAAAGGGGACGAGGGAAAGTGATGTCCAGCAGCCAACCCAAGCCCAAAACCTCCAGCAGAGCCTCTAAGGACGCAGGAGGAGGAGGGAGCCGAGTAAAGGGGCGGCCTGGCCTGGACACCAACAAGCCCAGACACCTGAAACAGGACTCATACAGCCCACCTTCCCACCACCGCTCTACAGGGAGTCTCAACCTCCCCAAATCCCACTCATTCAATTCAGAATCCACGCTAACCATCAGGCAGCTCAACAACACCAACACCGATGGTGACATCACCAACCACAGATGTGCAGCTGAAGGTGAAGTGAATGAGCTGAAGCAGCCATCACCACCTTCCCTCTACAAGCAGAGTGGGCCATCCCTGTCCCTGTTTAAGCAACACAAGTCTCACTCTGTCGAGGAGGCATGCAAAACCAAGACCCACAAGCGCCGGGGGTCAGAACCCGGACGGCAGGTTGTGGACCGAGCCTCCACCTTGACACGGGCGAGGCTACCCAGCGACCCAGGACTGAAGGTCTCAGAGGCAGAGTCACAGGGAGGGACTTCAGAGGCCCGTTTCTGCCTCTCCCCGTACGCTGCCAAAGCAGTGAGGGACTATTTCTCCTCTCACCCACGCAGCAGCCCTCAGAGCAGCCAACAGGTGGCGCTGGCCCTGGTGGAGAGTCGCAGGGAGTGGCTGAAGAGATGCAGTGACCCCACAGCAGAGCCAGACTTTGACCAGCTCCTGTTTGCTGAAGAGTCTTACGTCTGATTATGACACAGCACAACAAATCACTAAAATAAAACTCAGTAGAAACACGTCACTGCCGTTTTCAACCTGAGAATAAAATGATTAGTTAGTATACTCTGCACCTTAAATACATGAAGGCTTTCTGGTGTGTGATTAGACGCTTTTAAACGTGAGTAAATAAGTCCATTTTAAACTTTGCCTAGAGCTTACTGCCATTAAGAGAACATTTTTGCTTGAATATCCTCGAGGCTGCATTTACACATGCAGAAAGAACACTACTTTGTAACCTCATTTATATTGACACAATAGATTCATCAGTCTAAACTAAGTTCTATCTGATCTTGACTTAATGGGTTTTGTTTAAGAAATGTCACCATTGTGTTTTTTTTTTTTTTTTAAAAAACTTATATTAGGCCAAAGTTAAAACCTGCCAATTTTAACTACCTGCTGTTGCCTTCTTTCATCATGATCAAGTAGAATCTCTCATTAATCATTGGATTGCCTGCATTTGGACATTCAAATCTGTAAAGTACAGTTAGTAAATGGTTACAGCATAATGAGTGTCACTGTTCTCCTGCATTGGCACTTGATTAAATAATTAACTCACAATACTTGCATCTGGATATAATTATGACATTAATGGTTTTTGTAGTAGGTCTGTGGTATCAATGCAGCCTGGGTTCACACTGTGACTCTGCCTCTGCCTCGAGCTTCATTTTGCTTTTTACACCAAGTTATGCCTGGTTCACACTATACGACATTTTTGTCCGTACCGATGGTGATTATGTCAGATTAGGCAATTGTGGAGTCAAAAAATCGTGCTGTGACTTGGCCGACCGACATGACAGACTACACAGTGTCTTTCACGACGTGTGATGTCGTCAGGTTATTCTGGTCCTATTTCAATTATTTTTACTGTTCAGTCACTGGCTGTTCCTTTTTATCCTCCATTATGAAGAAGTAACATTGTTTACGAGCTTGAGCTTGATGCTAATGGTAGTACACGTCAGGTTGATAAAGTGCTTCTGCTGTTTCACATCATCATTTTTCCCTTTTTTTGCGACAAAAAGAAAATCAAACATGCTAGACTTTCTGTGGCGTCTGTTGTCATCTACTATGACACACTACACAAGATGAAACGATGGATTATTGTATATGACACATTAGTGTACATAACAAAAGAACAGCTTATATAATGGCTTATACATCGTGGTTATAGTTTTGATTCAGAATTGTAACTTAATGTAACTTCAAGTATCTAAATTTAGTTGAGTTTTGTAGATTAAGGTTGTAGGATTACTCACATTTTATGGTTTAAAAAGGAAAATCTTAAGTTTCCCCTTAATATCTTTAAGGAAGTTCTTAAGTATTTTTCAGCCTGGACTATATTTTCTCATGTTTTTGTATCGATGTGACGAGCAATGAAACAGATTGCAATGTATTCCTTAAGGACAACTGTGTACAGTCAGTTAATGTTCCCTAAAAATGCTTGTTTTTGCCATTGATGGGCTCAGATTGTTATTCAAAGTGTGTGACATTACAGGGAAGACCCTATAGAGAAAGATCCACTCTGTTTGTTACTGTGTGTGACCAAGTCTCGCACAATGAGAAGTCTCATCCTGAGTTTAACTTCTCCTTGAGCGAGGCCTGCTCACGGAAAAACGAATCACAGGGTTCATAAAACGGTCAGACACTTCTAATAACAATCTGAGCCTGTCAGAGGTAACAAGCACTTTCAGTGGACATAAATTGGTCTCTTTCAATACTAGGATCAATTTCAAACATTGTTATCTCCATTTGACACACAGAAAATAGGGTCCAGGTTTAAAAATAAAAACGTTTCCCTTTGAGTCTGTACTGATGTTCCTACTGCTTTTTACCAACTGTAGAGTCAACGGAGGTCAATAGTTGTAGGCGACACTGATTAGGTTTTGCTGTCTTTCAATATTTGGTCATAAATGCTATCAGCTGTTCTCTAAGTATTTTTTTAATGCTTCTTAGCAGTGGCACTTAAATTTTGTTTTCCAGCACATGCTTGCAGTCGCACAATTTGAAGGTACGATCCTTGTTTTGTATTTGTTGCCAACAGTGTGGTTTCCGCACCAGCCTGAATCGATTTGCATTAATCACATGTTCTGTCCCAATTTTTCTGTAATGTAAATATAATCCCTTCAGGGGGAAATGTTTTTCAAGCTTTATATTTTATGCAGCTTTATAAACTTTAGACTGTTGCTTTATTATATTGTCTATGCCTCCTTTCTATATACGTATTAATACGCTGTGTTAACGAGCCTAAAAATCTGCATTTGCAAATAAAATGACCTGATTAATGTGTGACGTAATTATTGGGTGACATTTGTGGTCGTATATTTTTCATACTGTGTCATATTTTCATTTCAAACATTAGATACAGAACATGTAAAAACTGACAGTTCAACACGCCATTAGAAAGGTGATTTTTTTTTTATTACATTATTTTTCACTCTATACATGGATGTAGGTTTGTGCTCTAGCTATGTACAATCACATGATGGAATTATATGGTTACATGAAGGATCTGATCAACAATAGTAGGGGTATACATGTGTAGAATAAAATAAGAGGGGGAGGGGTGTCGACATCAGCACAATCTCTAAGGCGTCGAGAACTGTTAGTTGTATTGGTTCACAGACATTTCAGTCACTGGCTGCAGTCAGCGGGCTACCGTCATCTTGTTGAGTGAATATGACTGAATTTACACACAAAGAGAGGATCTAGTTTTTAAACAAGTGTCAGTGTAAAGTCAGTTATATTTTTACAAGAAAAGCATATGGTACGTAATTAGATAATTGAAGGCACAGCCACAAACTAGAGGTGTTTAGCAGCATGATGGAGTTTGAGGTTAATAAATGACTGAGCCACTGCAAACTGATGTTCATGTGTCAGCCTGTGCGACTCACACGTTTCAAAAAAATCCAAATCAGGATGGATAAGGAGTTTATAAGATATATAGTAGGTTTATCTGAGATTATACTTTATGTCGTAATACTACAAGGGTGGCAAGATTCTTTAACGGTAACAGAGTTTACAGTTTTACTAAAGCTTGCCGAGTGTAGTTTACGTCTATAAAAAAATTATTTTCTCTTTATTTAAAAAGTCAAATATTGTATTCTTACATCCTGGTTATTGAGAGCTGTGACTTGGACATTTGTTTTTCTTTAAAGAAGGAGAGAAGAGTAGGCAGTCCAGTGGATGCAGCAGTGCTGACAGATTTTCACCCACCATCGTCCCTGTGCACATACCCTCAGTTCTGACCAGGCACAACCACACTGTGGACATTCACGTTTCCCCGCCGCAGGTTAAGATGATCCGTCTTTGCTCTGTCGGATGTCTGCTACACTCTCTGGAACCCTGGCCACCATGCCCTCCAGAGACTTTGTCAGGCAGATCTGGCAACCCAGTCGAGATCTGTGGGGAGAAAGAGTTAGAGTTAATGGTCGCCATATTCTCAGCAACAGGCATAACATCTCTGTGCCTGGAGAACTAGAGATCGTTGGTTCGGTCCTTATTGAGGCTAGTATTGAGGTGAATTTAAAAGGTCGCTGTCCAGGAGAGAGTGAAAGGCTTTGTGAAACACAGTGGAAGTGTGAGGTGGAATAGCTCAGGCTGTTGAAGAGCTGTTTGAAGAGCTGTATGAAGAGCTGCTTTGAGATCATGAGTTTGAAGGATCGATCCTTATCCAAAGCAGGTGAATTTTAAAGTCCAACACCCAAATGAAAAGGTTAAATGCGCCCGGAGAAAAAGTATATCTATAGTCAGTATAACTCAGTGGTTAAGGCTACTGGCCTTAGTGCGGGAGACTGGGGTTCAAATCTGGTCAGGTTGATGGTTTGATTCTTATCCAGGGCAGGTGAAATTTAGTGTCCAACGCCCAAATGAAAAGGTTAAATGCGCCCAGAAAAAAAGGTATATGTACAGCAGCAGCTTAGCTCAGTAGGTAAGGCTACTGGCCTTGGTGTGGGAGACTGGGGTTCAAATCTGGTCAGGTTGATGGTTTGATTCTTATCCAGGGCAGGTGAAATTTAAAGTCTGACACCCAAATGAAAAGGTTAAATACGCCCGGAGAAAAGGTCTCAGTGTGAAGGGTGCTCGGTGGCGTGGTGGGGTTGTACGTGGCATTAAGATGCCAGCTACCCAAAATGTGGGTTCGAATCCTGCCCGTTGTCAGTACCTGGAGCAAATAGATAGTCCTGCAGTAGCGGGGTCAGGAGGGGGGCTGTGGGTGCTCCTGGCATTTCGCAGAGGTACAAAGGAGGGGTTATGCAAATTTTTATGGGAAACTCAACAGAATTTGAGATGAGCTGCTGGGGGCGGGGCTTTAAGTGTAGTGCAGCCACCTGCCAGAACAAAGTTGTGCAACTTTCTTCTTCAGTGGATATTGATATGCATATTCAACATGTAGTTGGATGCATAATATCGCATATTGACACCACATGATGAATATGCATATCAATATCCATTGAGGAAGAAAGTTGAACAACTTTACTCTGGCTACACTTCTGGTCTTGCCACTTGGGGGGCAGCAGAAACTACCTGTGAACACAACAGGCATGAAGTTAAGGGGGGACTACACCCATTTTCAAAATTCATACGTTATTCTGATGGTCTGAGACAGTGGTTCCCAACCTTTCTCCTCAAGGGACCCCTTTTGAGTAAACGGATTACCTTTTACAAGGTACATATTTTATAATTAATACTGTGAGTATTGCATCAAAGATGAGTGTTCTTAATATTTTAGTGGGGGGTGGGAGTCCCAATTTGGAAACCAGTGGTCTAAGACAGCCAAAAAATGTTGGTAAACATGAACAACTCTGCCCCAAAGCCAAAATCTAGAGTGCTAAAACTCAAACTTGTGATGTCATAGGGTATACAGTCTGGAGCTGCTCCAAAGACAATGAATTGGGAGAGATGTTCACAGTTGGGAACACTACAATAGAATTAAGCTCATTTGGGTATGAAATATAAAACAGTGATTCTATGTGTCCACAAAATCAGACTTTATACCCTATGACATCACAAGTTTGAGACTTACTTCTCTGGTTTCTGGCTTTGGGAGAGAGCAGCTCATGCTCATACTGAATGAACTTCCCTGGGCCATGGAAATAACATATCCTCCTGAGACCCAAGCTTCTTTTTATGTATGTATTTTTAATTTCTCTGAGCTATTTGGGATCAGTAAGACCTGATAAGTATAAAAAATTAAACACTGTTAACGATAATTAAGTCCCAATGTCCTCAAACGAGACAATAATAAAGTCGCAATGTCTTCAAATGACTACTTTCTAATAAACAGCGTCTTTGCTTGTTACTGTTGCTAAAATTTGTCAAATTTGTATGGCATATCATACTACTAATATCCTTGATCATAAAAAACAAATTCAAACCATTAAACTTTATCAGTTTTTGTCCACTTTTGCGCCGCGGTCAGCTGCAGACTGAATTGGCTTAGGTGGCCGCCATCTTGTTTACATGATGGATAACATGAATTTGTGTAGCGTGGTCTTACTACCAAGAGATGGCACAGAAAAGCGTCCACGAATTAGACCTCGGTTAAGCAGAATGAGGTATAAGGTCTAGTAAAACCAAAATGTAATGTCCTCACATGAGGACACAAGGTCTCGGGAGGATATAAGAATTCTTAATTTAGGTACACATTTCCATAGAAAAAAAACATTCATCTAATTAACTAGTATTGTGTATGTAGACATGCTGCTACTGAAAAATGTTAATAATTCCCATATTAGTCCCATTAAAGTTGATGTGGTCGATATAATCCCTCGACTGGATAAACCGGTCTGGCCCTCAGTAGTAAATGGTGTGTGTGTTTACACAGGTGTGTGTTTGTGTTCTCCTTACGTGTCAGTCAAGCCATAGGCTAAGTCTAGCATGTCCATCTCCTCATCTGTGATGGGCCCCAGAGTCTTGTAGACATCCTCGTCAAAGATCAGATGGCATGTGGAGCACGCCAGGGTTCCCTCACACGCCCCTGAAACCACACAAACACACTTTCATTACTTTATCTGATGGATGGCATTCAGCTCAGATGCAGACAGGCAGCTATCTGCCATGATTCTCACTGTTACTGTAGAATAAGACAAGTCTGATCATGCCAGTGAGGAGCTCTGATGTCACGGCACAAGACAGAAAGGAGTGATGAAAGGAGCGAGCAGGAGGAGTAAGGGGGGGGGGGGGGGGGGGGGAGGGGGGGGGGGGGGGGGGGGGGGGGGGGGGGGGGGGGGGGGCTGTGTGCGTGTGCTTACATACCAAAGCCATCAAAGTCGAGGTCTTCATTGATGACAAGATCTAGCAGTGAGTCTCCAGGCGACCCCTTCACTGTGATCTTCTCCCCATCTCTGTTGATGAAGTGGACCGTCACCTTGTTGTCTGCTCTGAAACACACACACACAAACACAGTTTTAGTTTACCATTATCTACACACAAAAACTGACTCATTTTTAATCACAGCCGTGAGTATTTCCACAACACTTCACTCCCTCTAGTGGCCACAGCTCAACACTACACTCAGTTTAACAACTGCCAAAGTAATCTCTCAAGACAGATTCTGCAATTTACATTGTTTACCGATGGATTTCCAGATTGCTGCCAAAGTGCTTCAAAATCTCAGCGTGAGGAAACACATAGCGTAATTTTTTACTGTTGTTTATTTATACGAGCACAATTAATTCCCATATTATACCAAATTTGTAGAAATGCTTCATTTTTTAAGACTTTGTGGTTTAACTCAAACAGATACACATGCGCCCCCATCATCCCCCCTTTAAGTGAAGTATAAGTGAGATAAATTCTTCAGACAAAAATATCGTAGCTTATGATTGTGAACAATTCTAGAGCTGAAACTATGAGGTGAGAACAGAAAAATAGTCTGCAGCTATATGATCAGCAATTAATCATTAAAACTACATACATACAAGGTAAAATCTGTACAAAATAAAACAAACAAACAAAAACAAAAAATAGCCTTGTCTTCATATATATTTGTATGAATGGAGGCCAGATTAAATAATGTGAAAAATACCTGGGGGGCATCTGCTTTTCGCATCATGTGGGTTATAAAACAAACAAAACAAAACAAAACAAAACAAAACAAAAAACAAAACAGAAAAACCACATAGTAATGAGACAAACGCAACTTTTTCACCTTTCAGGAAAAAAGTATTCAACTTATCACAGCTGCTCCTGTAAGCAGTGGCCCTTGCTTTTGACTTAATGCTTCTTTGCTTTGGTCATGTCTGTTACCACACAGGAAATGTCTGCTGCTTGTTTGCTTGTTTACCCTCTGTTTATGCAAACACATTAATTCTACCTGCATAGTTACGACGACTTGGAGCATGTCTACAAACTATATGATAGTCTTGAAATCGTGAGGTGAACAGAAAAAAATATAGAGAACTTGCTTGATTAACCAATATTGTGTGGTGGGCCACATAATATATTTCAAAAGACAAGACGCAGGCCGCAATGGGCACAGAGGCCGGACAACAGACATGCCTGATATCGAGTAAAGGAGTTCTATAAACCTAACTCAAGAAGAAGAATTATGACGCACATTAAAATAAAATGATATTCATGTGTAGCAGCAGGCGTTGCTTTCTATGGCCGAGTTCCGTCTACAGTCAAACTTTTCCTGACAGTCTTATATTTTTGCAATGAGCTCTCCAGCCCTGAATATTTAAGGCCAACCCAGCTTCTAAATTAGAAGATAGCAACCAGCTAAAAATTAATGATCCCTTCTAACCCATCAGGGAAAAAAAACAAATGGACTAAAGTCTCACCAAATGAAAGGTGTAATTTCAACATTTTTGTCATACACCTATGAAAATATTATGATATATTATATCATGAATAATGTCAGAATTAAACTTGATAAAATTAGTGATTTGGCTCTCTTGTGAGACAATTTAGAGTGATACATCATTTTAAAAATGTGAGTATGATTGAGTTTTATTATACAGCGCAATTCCAATGTTAATGTTTGGCATATGGCAGCAGATATAACTGAAAATCTATGGAAAGGAACTCTTCAAAAACCACACTAAGCCCCTGTTTATCTGTCACTACATAACCTATACATAAAGACAATGAATTTTACAGATTGTTTGGCATTTTAACAGTGTTGAATGAGACATTTGTCCATTGTGCAGTCAATGAATGTTTCTGTTCAGCATAAAGAAGGCCAAGGGGAAATGTTCTTAATCTGTTTAGCGTCACCGGTCAAGTGGTCACATTTAATTGCAGTTAATGTTCTTTCCAAGTTTTTTTTTTTTTTTTTTTTTTTTTAACCCCAATTTTATTTTCAATTTCAAAACACAGTAGAAAGCAGACATGCAACCCTTGCCAGCTCCAGCCCCAGGTCAGGAGCAAATAAATAGGTTGTATAATAAATATAATATAAGAGAGCATTATATCACATTTTAGGGGCCAGACATCCTGGAACAAAGAATACAGAAGATAATACTGCGCTATCCAGAAGCTAATGTGGAAGGGTGAGCAAAAAGCGGTGAGAAATGAACCCCAAACCTTATGAAACTTTTTCTCTGACCCTTCTGATGCTTATCTTTTTTCAGTTTTAGGCATGACAATATGGCACTGGGGATGTCTGGGATCTGCAACTGTCTTCTACTGAAGTAAAATCACGAGATGCGCTACCCACAAGTTATTTTATCTGGTAGAAATCCAAAAACTGTGACAAGGGGATTTGGCTCAAATACAGTAGTTAGAGTCAAGGACAGTGATTCAAACACACATCTCCAAAATTGTTCTTATCCTGGGTGCAATCAATACATAATAAACCCTCTGCGCTCTTACACCTGTGTGAATATCAAAATGGGCATCAAATTAAGATGCCAACCCATTTCAGCTTTTCCAGTTTTAAATAGTATTTGAAAAAAATATGTGGGAAAGGAGCTGTTAACTTTGATATCACTGAGCATAACATTTTTACAAAATTGGAGCACAGAGCTAAGAAGATGGAGCAGTGAGCCCTTTCAGAGACTGCTCACCTTCACAATTAACAATAAAATAAAAATGAGAATCATAGTACACATTATTCCTGTTAAATGACCCCATTTATAAAATTTCCGACACTCTAAACAAACCTATGAAATTCTCTCATTTCCCTGCCCACAAGTATTGAACTCAATGACCTCCTGGAAAAATCTCAGGACCAGAGGGAACCATGTATAATCTGCTTTAAAAATATGTCAATCATCAAACTCCAAACCACCTCCTGCACTACATAACCTCTTGAAACAAAACAAACATGGGACTTGGAAATCTGTCCATGAAACTTTGATCGCACAAGTGGATTTTTCGACACGATAGTTACAAGAGGGTCAGGGCCAGCCATGTGTGCCTGACGTGAGCCCACAGGGACAGGGTATTCAGTTTAAGGCCAGTGCAGGATTGTGCAATTCAACAAGTTGTCTAACCCTGAGAAGCAAGCCTTGGGCAAAGCCTTGCACCTGAGATGCATCACTTTTGCCTCAGTCTTCACTTCATCCAAGGTTCAACCAAAAAAAGAGAGATCCTGACAGTTAAAACTGTTTCTCTGCAGCTATTTTGTGGCATACACACTATAGGTTTCACACCCTTAAATCTCATTTTCACTATTTAATAAAAATCCAAAGCAGCCTATCATTATTGCTGCAAGTATTTTTGTTGATTTTTCTTTAAAAAACCCATCAAACTCCATTCACAAATTTGACACTTGAGTGATGCAACACACTAAATATTGACACAACCCACACTAGAGGCCACAGGCCAAGTGAATCAGCAGTGCATTTCAGTGTAACCTCAAGGCTATTGTACTGTAGTAATGGTAAGACTGGTCTCACCACTGGCATTACCGTTACGCCGGATTTCCACTGGATGCGTGTCCGTTGCGGAACGGCAGCGCTGGTTATCCGCTGCGTGCTCCGCCGTCCGTCAATACCCACCGGCTGCGTTTGCTGTGCGGTGCAGCTCTGCCGAAAGACATCTCAGTGCACTGCCATGATTAATATCTCCTCGTCCATGGTGTTCACGGGGTGAAATGACGTCTGAAAACCTCTGACCTGTTGACTTCAGGCCTGCCTATGCCCATTATGTAGTTTTTAAGGTGTAGTGCAGGGAAATATGATCCGCCGTGAACACTATGTATTTTATTTTGAAAATTAACCGGATGTTTTATTGTGTTTCTGTGCACGAGTTCCTGCCCCGCACAATCTGCTCTGTGCTGAATTGCTGCGTTGTGCTCCGGCGTCCGGCAAAAATAGAAGTCCTGCGTATCTGTTGCGGAGGGCTCCGGAGTGCCGGAGCTGAGACGGAGCCGGAACGCAGCACAGCCGCAGCTGGTGGAAACAAACACATTGACTAGAATGGAATCCTATCGGCTCCGCTGCCGTGCCGGAGCGCAGACGCAACCAACACGCATCTGGTGGAAACTGCCCTTTAGTGATGCTACTGGGGGACCAGCCGCGGACACAAAACACACAATTCAAAAAGTTAAAACGTAAATTAAATGTTTGGCGTTTCCTGCACAGGGTCTCATTTAGAGGTACAGCTCGACACCAGCAAAGCAAACAGCAATGGCCGTAACAAAACGTTCTCATTGAATATCTGATTGCTGCCAGGTGTGTGCTGATTGCAAAGGTCACAGATAACTCCCTGTTTCCTAAATGAAGCGTGCAAACAAGCCACACATGAACTTCCTGACCAGTTCAGTTAGGTACAAACACTGACATGCTTTTGAGCAGTAATTTAAAAGTGGAGTTACTCACCTCAGAGGCTGTGTGCCGGTGGTGAAACTCCTCTGACCAGTCAGCCAGGCAGTGGAAGTTACTGCCGCCGTCCTCCACGAATATTCTCGTAACCTTACGTGAGCCAGTCTTCGTAGCGCCGTTACCAAAGCCATTTGAGGAAACGTTACAGACTATTCAAAAAGAAGCTAAGAGATATCCGAGCTGCTGAAAACGCCGACACAGTCCACTTCGGTCGAGCTCTTCTCAGCGGACAGACCCGAAGTTGTCTAACTTAGCTCCTGCGCTAACTTAGCTTGCTAGGCTAGCTTGTTTTAGCTGCGAGAAGTCACTCTGTCACTGTCGCGTTCATTGCGTAACGGAGCTATGGTCGCTGTCTGGGGTCAATTAAGTTACGTGACTGAGCTGTCGTAATCGGATAGTTCATAAAAAGCAAAGCAGAAAGACGCTATCGGGTTCAATCACACAAGGTTTATGTGGTCAATCGGCAAATGTGAGATATCCCGATGTATTCCCAAGGAAACGGTGTCAGAGGAGGCATCACGCGACAACTTCCGGTATAGACTTTAAAAATAAAAGCTTTAGCAACCAACGTATGCATCATCTTTATTTTATTTTGTATTTATGATTAGTGTGCATTTATTTTTATTAATTTGTTTTTTCAGCCGACACATTCTTCTATTTCATTACTTATTTATTTATTGACGGATCTGAAATTGTTTTTATCCTGCCACTGGTGTTTACTCACTTCCTGTGCTGTTATAATTTTAGTCCTCACCATTACAGTCTCTGAATTAATGTGTGTGTTTATTGTGTTGCATTCTATTTGTATGAAAAGTGCTATATAAATAAAGATTGACTGATTGAAAATTGATAATGTTGCCAGAGGTTAAAATTTAAAGGGATACTTCTGATTTTTGGAAGTGTGGTTTTATGGGGTGCTTATCCATACTCAGCTTACTAAACACAGTCGATGTCAGCCCCAAGTTTGGAGAAGCAGGCTGGAGTCTGATACAGAAGCTACGCAGTGAGCTGCTGTGGATAGGGGTCAGTGGCAAAATGTATTATACCCACCTTAATAAACTTCCACCCAACAAAATCAGTTTAAGTGTACTCTTAAAACTAAGACTATTTTTACTCATTTACCTTTCTGCCAGACAGCCCATTTTGACAGGCAAGATACCATCTTCAGTTTCTTAACGCCACCAGACTCCATTGACAAAAAACAGTAATTTTAGCTTGCTGAACATGGTAGCTGCTGGTCTACCTCTACCTTCATCAGATAGTTAGTTTGTGTTACTGTGTGACTTTGGTGAATCTGACCCAATCCTTTTTAACACCAAAGTCACACAATAACACAAATTAACAAACTGATTGAGGCAGCAGGATAACAGCGGCACCTGTTTTTGGTGATCTTACATCACTGTTTTTCTTAATGGAGTCTGGTTTTGAAGAGAGAGCAATATAATGGCTTAATTCCCCATTGGAAATCACTGTCATTCACTCTCAATGTGGCTTACATTTTATTTAGGTGGCTAAAATACATTTTGTAGCTGACCACTCGACAACAGCAGATTGCCCAGCTTTCATGCCAAACTCCACACTGGCATCTACTTTATGTAATACACTGACTATGTATAAGTACCCACTTCAATCCCACTTAAAAAAGTCTTAACTATCCCTTTATGTTCATACTTAGTAAGGCAACTAGAGATAGTTATCCAAATTTTTGTTTGCAGACATTACTTTTATTTTGAAAGCTAAACCGACAATCTTCCTGCTGGGTGCGGATTAATCATCGCCGGCTTGACGCCGCTGACAGAAAATGCTCCGTACATGTCCATGTGATTGCTTAAAGTCTACCAATCAGGGTGTGCGTGAGTTTTATTGCTCGTTTTGAATTACAGCGTCAGCCGGCAGAGCGGAGTTAGAGCAGTTACAGCAGTTTTCGCTATGGGAGCGTTCACCGCCCCGCTGTGCAGACGAGTATGAACAACCCCACACACTGAAGTGTTGCCTAACAAAGGTCAAAGCGTTCCACATCTGCACCTCCACACCCTTCTCTCCCGCCAAGATAGAAAAAAATAAAGTAAATCAAATTCCACACGCCCCTTTGGACTTTTGTTAAATCCTCCACAGCTTGTTATAAGTCCTCATGACACTAAGGGTTGGATAGCTTCTGTGTGTTGCTGCATACACAGCAGGTGGAGCCAGAGATGTAATTCATCACCTCTTTCATGAAGATCCCAACTGTATCTTTAGACTCTAACATTGCTGATATGTGGTGATAGCTCTGGATAGGAAATGCAAACATTCCAGTATCACAATATAGTGTTTTGAAAACAGGGACCTTGAATTCCTCCCTCCGACCTTGTGTTTACGTCAACAGTACCAACAAGGTCCAGCAATAACATCAAAACATGAATCCCCTCCACCATCACATTTACTATTTGTTCACCTGCTGTGATCTCTCTCTGTCCACATTCACAGATATTGATTAGGCTACCCTTTAAACCAAGTGCCATTCACCTTCGACGTATTGACAAAACCTGGAAAACAGGATGTGTACAGTATACTATGATGTCAAGGTAAATTAGCTGCATGGTGTTCAAACCTTTATCAGGCCAGACCTAAGGGCAAAGTGCATCTAATATCAGTTATCATCAGACTATGGGAGGTGCAGACTGATCAATAATCTCATTCAAAGTGTTATTATGTAGGGGTTTATGACCGGGAGTGATATATTAACGGGTGGCCTATTGTTTCTGCGTGTTCATCACTGCGGTCTCAGGTAAGCAACACATGAACTGACACCGTCTCTACGCTGCAACAGTCTCTAGGTTTACAGGTGCTTATACAGCTAAAGATCAAATCGTGCAGCAGCTTAAAGTTGCTCTGTTTATTGTTGTGTTTACAGGATGTTCAAGTTAGTGCTGCTATTCCTGGCGCTGTCAGGTAAGCTCTCACTCCTTTCATCTCTGATTGTATTTAGAAAGATCATTTCTGTGCTCGCTTTTTGTCATGATTTTCCGAATGATTTAATTTGCAGACAATGCCATGCTTTTAGTTTATCATGATTATAAAATGCCTGTTTCTTGATAGTGACATACATTTCTTACTTAAGATAATGATGTTATTACAGATGGCCATGGAGGTGTATTATGATCCTATTTTTCAAAATAAAATAAAGAATTCTGATATCATGACATAATGGGTTTAATAATGCATTAATGAGATCTTTCCTGTGATCACAAGAAAACCTAATAGAGACATTTAGTTTTTATCATTGATTTTTCGTCTCCCGACATAAGCTTTTCTTTTAGAACATAAAATTCGAATAATCCAATAATACATAGTATAACTATCTTTCTCACAGTCTCTATGAAATTATGTTTTATACTCTGACCCTCAGTTTCTTTCCTTGTATCATATTACCTTTGATTTATTTGGAGAATTTAAACATTCCCATAGCTAACTAGAGACTTTGGATAGACGAGGAGATTTAGTATTTAGTATTTATACCGTCTATCTATGGTCTATCCCATATTTGACCATTTCCATGTCATAGTTTATTTTGGCAGCATGGTCGGTTGCCTTGGCACTAAAACTGTTGAGTGTGGCAAACAGCAATGAAATCAAAGCAACTGGCCAGTAAAGAAATTAGACTTTGACCATTATTGATTTATTACACTGTTAAAGAAAAGCCTACATATTATTCTGGCACAATCGTTAATCATTTATGTAAAGGGCCAAACAGCCATTAATCTGTCAACTGACAAGGGTGGTTGTTTAATCAGCAAGGTTATCGCCAGGTTCCTGCCTGTATGTGAGAATCTCTGACACTGAATAAATAAGCAGGATGACTTGCATTCATTTAGGTTTTCATGACTAACTGTAAAATAAACCCCTCACAGGCCTCCAGGCTCTCCCACTTGGAGACCCCAGAAGTTTGCAGGAGACATCTTCCACCTACCAACTCCCTGATGGCTTTCGACAGGGCACTGAACACTCTGACATCGGTGAACCTGTTCCTGACAGCTTCCGACAAGGTACTGAGCCCTCCAGGAGATTCCTTGTTGACCTCAACACCGGCCTGGTGCAGGAATACATCAGTGAGATGGACAGGAGAGTGGGTCAGTATACAATCACACCAATGAAGAACTAATTACTTAAACTTTTTTTTTGTTTTTCATGTGTAAAATATGTCTTGTAGCATTTGTCCCTCCTTCTCTAGGAGAGGGATTTGGAGAGATAGAGAGAAGACACTGGCTGACTGATGAGGCTGAGGAAGCCAGAGAGTGAAATTGTCCCACTTTATGGAAATTCAAATTACATTTCACTACTTTCAGCCACTACCCACAAGAAACTACAAAGACATGGCAGAGATATCTGTAAAACCACATACTTTGGTCATACTAGATTCATAGCTCAAGGGATTGGTCGCTCAACCACTGTGATCCACACTGAAACATCTCAATAATGATTGGACAGATTGGAAGAAATTTTGTCATGACACTCATGTTCCCAAAATAATGAGTCCTAATAACTCTGGTGTTTCGTGCTAACACACTAAACTAAGGCAGTGAACATCGTAAACCTGCTAAACATCCGAGTATTGTCATCATGAGCTTGTTAGCATGGAGATAGACCCTTCATCTTGTCTTCTTTTATGTACTCACTGGAACCTCACTACACTTAAACAAGCTTGTATAATCTTATGGTCTTCTGTCTTCTAGTCCCTGTTGATGTTCCAGCCCAGAAAAACGGCGGTGGTTGGGTCCGGGTGGAGGATCCTTCTGCTCCTTATCTCCCAGATGGTTTCAGGCAGGGAACCGAACCCATGAGGTCTATCCCAGATGGTTTCAGGCAGGGAACAGAACCCATGAGGTCTATCCCAGATGGTTTCAGACAGGGGACTGAACCCATGAGGTCTATCCCAGATGGTTTCAGGCAGGGAACCGAACCCATGGGGTCTATCCCAGATGGTTTCGGACAGGGCAGCGAACCCATGAGGTTTGTCCCAGATGGTTTCAGACAGGGAACTGAACCCATGATATCTATCCAAGATGGGTTCAGACAGGGAACCGAACCTGTGATGTCTGCCTCAGATGGCCTTAGGCTAGTTGCTGAACCTATTGTGGCTATCCCGGCTGGTTTCAGACAGGGAACTGAACCCATGAGGTTCGTTTCTGCTGGTTTCAGACAGGGAACTGAACCCATGAGGTCTATCCCAGATGGTTTTAGACAGGGAACCGAACCCATGAGGTCTATCCCAGATGGTTTCAGACAGGGCACAGAACCCTTCAGGTCTATCCCAGATGGTTTCAGACAGGGAACTGAACCTATGAGGTCTATCCCAGATGGTTTCAGACAGGGAACAGAACCCTTCAGGTCTATCCCAGATGGTTTCAGACAGGGAACAGAACCCTTCAGGTCTATCCCAGATGGTTTCAGACAGGGTACTGAACCTTTTATTACAATCCCAGAGGGCTTTAGACAGGGAACAGAACGCTCCACACCTGGTCTCCAAACGAAGACACTGGCATGTAAAGGGGAGGTCATCAATGGAAAATGCTACGAGTTCAACCCCACACCACTGGCCTTCCAAGATGCACAGGTTAGACACATTACATCTCATATTACAATTACAGACAGGGAGATAATAACTTTTCAGTTGTGAATTCATGTCACCCATACTATTTTGTCTCAAAGACCTTCCCACAATAAAAGTCTGTGTTTGTGGCTCTACAAATTAAATCTCACACTTTTCTATGTCCAATGTCTCCAGGCCTTATGCAGAGCTCTTGCCCCAAATGCTGAGCTTGCATCTGTAACAACCAGCGATCTGCATTCCCGCCTGGTCTCCCTGGTGACCAAGGGTGGTGAGAGCAACCCTGTGTTGACCTGGCTGGGAGGGACGGTCGAGGCAAGTTCATCTCGTCAACAGTCAGCTACTCACATTTAGAATAACGTTCTGGAAAACTACCTCACATCACCATTTCTATGAATGTGCTTACTGGTTGTGACGCCAACAGTCTGGTCCTGTACTGCTACACAAAATGGAGGCCAAGGAGAGTGCCATCAGATATGTTATCATCAGGACAGATAGTGTTATTCTTACGTTGGTAAAACATTGACCTTTAAACTTTTATTTTGAAATGCAACATCTGTTTCCTTGCAGTCACAAAACAAGGCCACAATCACAAACTACATATGTAAAAACCTTCTTACGCAATGATGTAACAGTATTAGCCATTTACTCATATACGTCAGTAACAAGGGCAAATCTCTTTATTGAGTACTTTTACTTTTGAAACTTGAAGCATATTTTGCTGATAATATTTCTGTACTTTTACTTAAATAAGACTTCTAAACGGGACTTAAACTTTCAACAGAGTATTTTTTAAGTATGTTAATATGCTAACTCTCAGTTTGAATAGAATGGTTTATGTGTGCATAAATGTGCATATTTTCTGATATATGTGTATGTGTTGGTGTTGCACACCTCAGAACCAGCAGGCATCATGGGTAGATGGGTCAGAGTGGAGTTACAGCGATTGGATGCCAGGTCACCCCAACATTCACACTGAAAAACCTGTTTGTGTGGAGATGTTCAAGATAGGTAAGAACACACCACAGACACATTAACACACACTAACTGATTATTTATGTATATATTTTCTGGAAAACATCTGTATCAGACTGACACGTTTCTTTAAAAAAAAAAGAGATAGCACATTTATTGTCTTTAAAATGACGCCTATAGGTGCCCTATTAATTAAAAGGTTAAAATTAGAGAAGCTCAAACAACTGTCTGGCCACGTCAAGGAAAGTTTGATAAGATAAAATATTAACTTGTATGAAGGAATCTTTGCCCTTTGGCACCAAGGGCAACCTGACTACTGCTGTTTAGACAGATATCATTCTGTCTCTTTAGTGCAATTATACAACATTTAATATGACTTAAACTGCAGAAATACTGTGAATACCAGTCACCAGACATGTTTGGCTCAGGCATATTTTTACAAAATGGTCTTACAAATACCCTAGAAATGTGTTTTACGTTATGCGAGCATTTTTACAATTCTGTCCCTACCCTTTTTGCAGATGAGAGCTGGTGGACAGCCGCTGACTGTGAACTGAAGAGAGCGTCCATCTGCTCGTACCAGATCACTGCATGAGAACCACATAGAAACACAACATGAGAGGAAGCCTCTCCTGATTGGTTTCCTCTTGAATAATCTCACAGACAATATTGTCTTCATTAGTTCTGGCTACCATTGTCTGCATTATCTTAAATCTCCTTGAATTAAACTAAGCATACTACATCTGTGTTTCTGTTTTATACCTGTGCACAAAACTGAGATAAGGAAAAAATAAGACAGTTTTACCTTTGCCATGCAGTCACTCTTCTCCTTTGACGGGTAACAATAAACCACAGGTGATATACATTTAAATTTAGACAAGACTTTAATGATCATTTTTCACTTGTGTATACAAAGCAGTTTATACAGATTAGGGAGCCAAGTTAAAACAATTTGTTACAATTTAGTACCTGGAAAGTGCAAAAGTACATTTCAAATACGCTGAAATAAAAATCATGCTGTACATTATATACTGTATTCATAAATAATCACAGATATACACACATCCATTTGGTGACAGTCACAGAGAATGTTGCTAAGACACAAAATAGTACTTTTTGATTTTGCTTTGAAGTCCTATATTCTTGGTTCCCGTTGAAATCTGTGGAGGTTTAACATCTGGAATGCTGCTTTCATTTGATTTAAGCTAAAGTCGGGGACGATAAGCTTCGGTAATGAGAGAAACCTAGCTCTATGTTAAAACCACACTGGGATAAAGGCACTCCGTTTGTTGCAGTCGTGGAACAACTCAAACAGTGGTCTTTTGTCTGAATGACGAATGTGGATGAACGAAAGACGAAAAACATTTTATGCACCTTTCACAGAAATCTCATAAAGAAGGACACAGATTGGTCTTTGCACACCATCTCGCTGTGACATTTAAATAAAAACTAAATACAAAATCATGTTCCAAAAAAAAAAAAAAATAAAATGAAGAGACAAAAACACTAGAGCAACCCTGTGTCCAATGCTGAACCCATGAGCCAAAACAATCAAAGGCTGCCTTGGCTCACAGAAACTGAGACACAGCATCAACAGAATTTGGCTATAAAAAATAAAACATGCATCACTGGCATGTCCTCAGACACACACACTCAATCAGACACACACACAGGTATGGTGCAAAAATATAAATCACACAGTCTCATCCACAGGAACTTCATACTGTGGCTTTTTGTGATTTGGATATTACAGAGTAAAGAAATCACATTCACACACTTGAACAACACATCTTCCAAGCGACCGAGACAAGGCATGCCAACCTTCTTGATGCCCCGTAAATAAAAAAAACTCCTCTGAAATCAGTCACTTCACAATGAGCAGGAAGGAGAATGAGATGTAAAAATAATAAAGGATGATAGTTTGGAGGCAATGGTGAGAGCTAAAGGAAAGGGAGGGAGTTCAGAAACATTTACTGTCACAGTTAAGCTATAGGAAGACTAGAGATAGAGGGCTGGCAGAGCAACCGAGACAGGACAGAAAAACAGGAAGAAAGCATCGACAGCCACCCGACGAAGGAGCTGTATTGCTGTTAACACTGACATCTCATAAAGCCCTTGAGGATTTCTTCTCTCTCCTTCTTTTGCAGCTGTCTGAACAGTCAGAACAGTTTAAAAAAATGCCATCCCGGTGTCTGTATTCACGAGACAAAGTGTGATTTTAACAACTGCTACTTTTACTTATAAATAAACACGGATTCAAGTAACTTAAAAACATTCGATGAAGTGTTTTATGACTTTAAAGTCACTGTACTGCTGTGATAAATTCACATGGAAGCTTCTTGTGTTTGAGAATGTAGTGTTTTGAGTTAAATGAGAATATTTTCTTTTACAAAACTATATCTTAAATGACATGTCAACACGAAAAGGATAGTTCTGATTTCTTTAAGTGGGTTTGTGTGAAGTACTTATCTGTCAGTGTATTTCATACTGTAGACATCAGACACGCCCCCATTTTAGAGAGGCAGGCTGGAGTCTGACACAGATGCTAAGCAGTGTACAGCTGTGGAAGGGGGCAGCAGGAAAATGTATTTTAGAATAACTGTTTCTCTCAATGGAGTCTGGTGGCTTTAACGAGAACATAGATGAAAACTGAGGCTGCTCAGGGCTTTCCTGTCGGATCTGACAATATAGCATACATTTCTTATGCAAGACTTTTGTAAGCTGGCTAAAATATATTTTGCTGCTGCCCCCGTCCACAGCTGTACATGCTTAGCTTCTGTGTGGGCACTTGTGCCTGCTTCTCCAAACTAAGGGTGTGCCGTTTGACTTCTACTGTACCGACTATGTATAAACACCTCATACAAGCACACTTCAAAAAATCCAAACTGCTCCTTTAAAGACGGATGCTACAGATGTTTCTACAACAAAACAAGTCAGCTATATCCAAAAGTTAAAAAAAGACTTCTCCATCACCATGTCATCTACCTAATCTCAAACTGGACCAAAAATGCCATGCATACCGACAGATGCCAAGTTGGCGGGCACATGCATAAATCTGTACGAACGAACAGAACAACCCAAATAAAAACAATAACAGCAAAGAAATCAACAATAGAAAACAAATGAAAATCTCACACACACACACACGCACACACACATATATATAAAAACGCATAGGAAAGGCAGAGAGTTTGGTCATGTGAGTGATGGAGCCGTCTTACTGCATAAGGCTGCTGTGTGGCAGCTTTGAGGCAACCATGAAAAGTCTCAGCCTACAGAGCACAGGCCCGCCTGTCTGCACCGAAGGCAAACTAAGGGGGGCAACAAGGCCACTTGAAACTATATTTTGACAGAGAGCATGGCATTACACTGCGCATGCACATATAAACACACACACACATACATACATACACACATACAGGAGAGCAGTTAGCGGATCGATCCTGTCAAATTTAAGCAGAGCCGGTCAGAGAGCACACAGCGCCTCTGCTGGAGAAACATTAGGCTGAATGTGTGGTATCATGTAAAAATGATGATGACTAGCTGAGGGATGAAGAGCTGTGGTGTTTGGGAGTGGTAGGTAGTGGTGAGGTGGTGCTAAGACTGGCACTACTTCTGGATTTGAACAATAGCGCCAGCGCCTTACGCTCAATCAAAAGCAGGAATACACACACATAAAAACTGGACACATGGACATGGAGACTTTTTGATGCTCAATGCTCTAGCACCCCAAAACACCACCCATTAAACTATGGAAAGGTGCTGGAGGAACTGAGGAGAGTTCCTCAGACAGAATGAACCAAACTGGTGATTGAAGTATGGAGGCAAACTGGGTGACAAGAGTGAGGGATGTGCGCAGAGGGGAGGGTTGAGGACTCGGGGGGACTGGGATGGGTTCAGTTGTGGTCGTGCTGGGTGTTGTACATCGTCTCCCCCGAGGAGATCTGGGTCAGTCTCTTGCTGGAGCCCCACAGCTTCCGTGTGATCTGGCCCGAACGCATCTGAGAAGAGTGGAGGAAGAGGAGGAGGAAGTGGGATGGAGGAGAGGGGGAGAGTGGGGAAAGAAACAGCGTGAAGTCAAAGGAAACGGGAGGGGGTAAAAGGAGGAGGGATATGATTCATGAGTGATTGATTAGTTCAATGGAGCTCGATTGACTTGTGAAGCATTAAAGAAATAAATCAAAGCTTGATTCACTTTGGTGAGAAAAGATGAAAAGCAGAAAGGTGCGATGATTCACGTCAAACTACTCAGAGGGGGACTGCCTGTATCAACCTCCCACATCTACACTACCACACTATTTACACTATCAAAACATCAAAGTCTATCTTGGCGCAAGGTTATTAGTTTGCATTATTAGATTGTGGCTACACTGTTAATATGGCTTGAGTTTGCAGAAGCGTTAATTAGTGTTAAGTTTGTTTCACAGCATATTTGTTATAGTCGTAGAGTACACTCAAACACATAACGTAATGACACTTCAGGTAAACAGCAGGGGATGGAGTTTATCCCAGGTCAATGGCCAAATCAAGTCAAATATTGCACAGATGCCAAACAGTTTGAACAACCAGAATGAGGTAAGCACAAAAAGTTGTTTTCATGTCACAGTTGTGGTTCTAGTGGCTGCTGTGTGTGCTCAGCTGTGTGCTGAAGGAATGTGTTACATCTGTGTGGCTCGGATGTAAATGTGTGTGGTGGTTTAGGGAGCAATGAAGCCAAATGGCTGACTGTGGGCGACAACCATCCCTGAGAAGGAGAGGTGACTGTGGATTAAAAGGTCTGAGAGGACACTGAGGCCAAGCGTTACAATACAGGTGATATGTGTAGGAGGTTTATCTGTGTGTGTGTCAGATCTACAGCAGTGGGAAGGGACTACAGCCTCTGGGGTTTATGGGAGCTGGAGGTGGGACTGAACACCAGCTGGTCGCGCTGGTGTAGCAGGCGGGTTGGTGAGCGAGCTCGAAGCGGGGCCAGCAGGGGGGAGGCCATGAGCGGCGATCCCTCCAGGCTCTGAGCGATGTAGTTCCTCAGCGAGTTCTTTACCTCCGCCGGCTTGCCCACGCCCACGATGATCAGCTTGCCGTCCTCCAGGCCCACAAGGACGTGGCTCTGCTCCTTGGTGACAGAGACGCAACGCACCGGCACCCTCATGGCCATGGGCTCCACACACAGAGACAGACTGGGCAGGAGAAACAGTTATTTCTACAATGTCCACATGTACGCAGGCTGCTGTTCCACTCTTTTGGTGTTTAATCTAATATAAAAGACAGTTTTTCAATCTGATATTAAGTTGAAAGATGTTTAGAGTTTTACCTGTAGAGGTCACGGATGGACAGGTATCCCTGCTCGCTGCCGATGACTACATACTCCCCTGAAACACACATATCAGTCACCTGTTCCTTCAGAGGCTCACTGCAGAGGTGCTTCCCATTTATAGAGTAAAGGTGGATAGCGTTTTTATCCTGGGAAGAGAAAATAAAACACCTGTGAATAACATTTTCAACTTCATCTAAACAGACCCGTGTCTGAAAAGCTGCAACCCTAGTCCAGCCAGCATGTAGGGAATGTAGTGTGAAAAAATTGTTTGCCCACCTTGAGCGTTGCTTTGCCCTCGAGACAGGTGTGGACCAGCAGGTGACCCTCCCAGGACACGGCCAGGTGGAGGATTGAGAGCGGCAGGGAGCTGTCGCATGGCGGTCGCAAGCAACGCATATACTGACCCCGACGCACTGTGTGGATGATCA